ATCCACACAGTCAATTTCCCCACCTGATGGACAGTAGGGAAGAGGGAGTGAATCAAAGACCCATTAGCAGGAGAGAAAAGCCTTCAACATTTTATCACAGATCAGTCAGACACTTACCATTTTGGATGAGGATCTGAGAGCGTGTGAAGCGTCCGTGAATGGCTGCCATGTGCAGGGGGCTCTTCCCTTCTTTGCTCTGTGGAGGGTAAAAAAAGAAGCAAAAGATAAAATCTTATACTTTCATCTAATGTTCATAGAATCACAATTCACTGATTAATGACAACACAAAGGCTAAAGTGTGCATGTTTTACATTTTCAATGCAGTGTTTCTGAAGGTAGCAGCAGCTAACACGTAGTGTCCTCTCTGTCAGCTACTAATTCAAATTACTATACATTTAAAGTAACAGGTCTCTCTTTCCACTAAATCCATTTTCACTAAAAAGGCATTGTACTACTTTTCATGTTCTGACCAATGTTAGTTTTCTCTATGACAATGTAATTGAAATTAGGTAACAGCATAATAAGCTATATATAGAGAAATGATCAAAAACATAAATCTAGAGATTCATAAGGACATTATTTTCTCATGCACTCCCTTTTCACACATACTATGGCAATGCCAACATTTCAGGCAGCTAAGTGTGTGCATGAGATAAAAACTTCTTATAGGCAGGAATAGAATGCGTCTTATCTTAATTCCTTCTCCATATCCACCCTATTATGATGATTTAATTACTTTGGTCCATTGATACAAAACAAATACATTTTCTTTAAATCTCCAATTCGAAATCTAGTGTAAAAATAAATGAAATGACATCTAAATGACCTTCACCGATCAAGCAAAACATTCAATGTAATGCTATCTGTACTATTAAAGGAACTGAAAGATAAGGTAAAGTAAGCAGAGTATATGTACATTTCCATTTAAGACTCTTCAGCGCATTTCATACCTGCTGGTTGACATCTGCCCCATTGTTGACCAGCAACTCCAGACAGAGGGCACCGTTGGTGGAGACGGCAGCCAGATGCAGAGGGGTGTAGCCGCACTTGTTGGGCTGATTAACATTAGCTCCGTGGTTCACCAGCTCGGTAGCCACAGCTTCCTGACCCGTGTAGCAAGCCACATGAAGTGGAGTGTTTCCAAAGCCATTGGGCTCATCAATCTGACAGTAAAACAATAAATGGAACACAAGATCAGACTGAGCCTATAGCCTGAAAGAAAGCATTCATGAAATCTTAAAAATAAGTGGCAGATAAAAGACTTTTATTAAATGTCTTAGGGTTTAACCAAAACAAACAATTGGGCAGCTTAATTTGGCCAGTGTAAAAATCAATATTAAAATAAGTATTTAAATGTAAAAATCACTCACCTCTGCCCCCATCCTCAGTAGGTACTTTACAATTTCGATGTGACCACTTGCAGCAGCAGCATGGAGAGGTGTGTAGCCCTGCTTATCCTTGCAGCCCTTGTCTGCACTGCGGGACACCAGCAACTTCACAATCTCTGCATGCCCTATGGGACACACAAACACACACACAGTTAAGTAAATGAGACAAAACCATTGATTCATTCAGTGATAGTAGTGTCTTTAACCCCCCGATTGTGAAGCAAGGACTTGGCCATGTTACTTCTCCTCATTAAAACGCGCCAAGAACAATAGGAGCTTTTACTGTGATCTGACAATTAAAATGTGTGCTATGCAGCATTGGCAAGAAAGTGAAACTCACCCAAGTAAGCAGCACAATGGATAGGCTGTCTCTCCTTCTTATCGATGGCACTCAGGTTGGCCCCTTTGTTCAACAGCAGCTTCACCATCTGTAAGACAAAGACATAAACTGTATTTACAACCAGGTTCTCATTATTTTAGAAAATCTCAAAATGGAAGCACATAACTGAAGCCTCACCTCCTGGAACCCACTCTGAGCTGCATGGTGCAGGGCAGTTCTACCGGTGCGATCGGCCATGTTTAGGTTGCTCAGCTGGGTCAGCAGGGTCTCTGCGCAGCGTGTGGCACGGTTGGCAGCGGCCACATGCAGCGGTGTCTGCCAGAACTTGTCTCGTGCATTTGCCTCTGCTCCGCGCCTCAGCAGCAGACCCACTGCCCTCTGGGGAGAAGGAGACAATCACAAGAGCGTAAAGCATATATAATCATATCTACGGTTTACTGCATTTCCTTTGTCAGCACAACATTTTTGTGCATACATCTAAATGAGTCGTATAATCACTGAGGGTGAATAGATAATAGAATAAGAGGATGAGGTCATCCGACAGAGATAATTATACTCTTTGAAGTGGCCAAAGGAAACGAGTTTATTGCTTACTTCATTCCTGGAAGCAGCTGCCCTGTGCAACGGGGTCAACCATACATGGTCTTTAGCGTTTACAGTGGCACCTGCAGACAAAAAGAAAATAAAACATCCATTATTTTAAGGGGTCACAAGGATGTTGGAGGTGAATATATCTGCACAATGAGGGGGGATGACAAAGCACAGAGGAGTCCAACTTCTTAACACATAGCAAAGTATCAGTAATGCATACAGCTCACTCACCTGATTCAATGAGGAGGTCCATTATATGGACGTCACCCACACAGGCAGCAGCATGAAGTGGCGTACGGCGCTCTTGGTCCTGTGGAATAAACATATGATCAATCATGGGGAATATGACGTTTAATTGTCATGTTCAACGGATATTACTGGGCCCAAATCCTTCATGATATGAACCCGTTTTGCATTGTAACTTATTATACATCATACATACCAGTGCATTGACATCCTCCTTTTTGTGCAATAATAGTTGAACTTCTTCAGCATTACGATTGAAGATGGCCTGGACCAGAGGAGGCTGCAATACAGAAATACCGGCCAAGTTATCTTTTCGATAATGCTGCATACAATTACGTTATCGCTGATCCGGAGCAACGATTCGTGGATATGTCTATCACCCCATGATTTCTCCCAGCAGGTCAAATTTTGATTATACCATGTAATTATTCAGTGAAACTGTTTAACTGCATTGTGCTGTACATAGTGCATTTACTGTGGCGTTAAGAAACCTAATGCGAATTCTTGATTCCTTCCAGCAAATACACAGAGCCTTGGCTGAGGCCCACAGGCCCTTGTTTCGGTGCTTACGTCAACTAGCAAAACGGCTATAGCTAACGTTAGCTAATTCTGCTACAGAGCTGGCCCCGACCCAGAAAAGGCCCAGACAAGAGCGGCGACAGCATATGCGTTATCGTCTGAATGCCGAGCATCACTAATCATAGGTGGTTATATCGTTATGATTCCAATATTCAGCTCAGCTATCACCAATAAGCTAAAAATGAAAATACGTCGGTCCGCGAATAAGACGTAGTATGTTGCGCACAAGAGCAGATTCCAGCAAATAGACTGCGCCACAGCACAAACACGGATCCCTTTCTTTCAGCGTACCTGGTCTGCAATGTTGTGTACTCCCATCTCCCAAACTCAACCAGGACGGAGCTCCTTCATGAGGATAAAACTTCGAGGTATATTGCGGTGCGCTACTGTATCCACTTTTCAGACTACACCCATAGCTGGTTGCAAACAGAAATGCGGTCTTGATCTGTCACTGTTGTTGTCTATCCTATGTCTGGTCTGACGATACATGCTACGGCTGTGCGGGTCCGCCTACAGGCGTGGCGGTCTGTTTTCGCCTCCTTGGGTGAAATGGTGTCATCGTGTGGAAGAGAGTTGTATAGCAATTCTGCATTTACACTGAGGCGACAACGTCTGCGAGATCAAGTAAAAGTTAAATTACTAAACTATGAACAATGTATCTAACACTTCATATAACCCCCCATATAAGAAACACACTTCTAAGTAATGAGCAACATTTACCCCTCTGAAGATTTATTTAGACTTCGCTTTTGTATTGAGGATTATGCGTGTATATTTAGTGAAAATTATGTCGAAACTACGGACCATGTATTTTTCTCATGTAACGTGTTACAGACATTTTGGTGTGATATACACAAATGGGTTAAACAAAATATGTCCTAATTCCCAAACTCTATCTCCAGAGACAACATAATATTTGGTTTGATATTGCAAAGCAAAGATGATGAACTCTCTTGTAATAAAACTGTATGTCTACATTTTTTATCCCCAAGTGTAGAACTGGAAAATCATCCCCCAAATTTGTTGTTGTTTTTCAATGAATTTAAATTATATATGAAATCCTTTAAAAAAATTCTAAAAGGAATTAACGTCAAAGAACAAAAATTATACGATATCCTAAAACACTTTCTCACTGAAGTAAATAGCTGAATGTAGACTGAATTCTCCCCTTCTATTATAATTTCTTACCACTTATTTATTTTAATTTAATGTATTTTATTTGAAGTCATTATTGTTGTTACCAAAGACTATATTTTTTTGTTAAGAGCTGTTATTTTTCTCTATATTTATGCTAAAGCTGCTTTTTTTTTTGCAATTTTCAATAAAATATCGCAAAAAATCTAAGTAAAACGTTTAGGATTTAAGATCAATGGTTAATAAAAGTTATGTAACTAAGCTGTTATGGCGCAGAATTTATTGACAACAGCATATAGCAACTACTGTAACTTTACTGTTGTATAAAGTAACACTAGGACGCGTCTTCATAGGCTACCAAATTCATATACATTTATTAGACGGCTTTAATCGTACATGGTTGCTGTAGCTTGAGATTTTTTTTTACATTAGTACTATTTATTTGCTGTTATTGTTTTCATCAGCAGATAGACTGTGCTGTTGTCATCGCTAGCCTAGCCATTGATGACGTGTGGGTGTAATGACGATAATTGCTATCAGGTCAAATGAGCACTAATGTAACAGAAGCCTACTACTAATGACTTGTAGGTCTATAATTAAGTCATACATATGAATAGTTTGCAATAAATAAATTTGACTGCCGTTAACCTCCAATACAGTGGGTGGCAGAATTTCACCGCGGAGCCGTTTGGCTAAACCTAAACCGAAGACCGACGGACAGAAGAAAGGAACAGTTTGTCCCACCGGTGTTTTATTTAGCCGCAGAAGGTCGTCCGCGGCTCGGCGGTCTTTGACAATACCCACAACCAAAACTAGCCTAAATAATTTAGCGTTGTGTCAAGTTCGGCTTTCGATAATTGCAGTGATGTGAGAATTGCTGGGGGGAAAAAATAGAGGAACGCGGCTGTACGTCGCGTTTAGTCGGGCTCGTTATGAAACCTTGCTAGCGAACGTTAGCTAACGTTAGCAGCTGGATACGGTAACTAACGTTACGTACGCTGACGGAACTAAAAGCGGCTGGAGACGTTTTTGAAGTGAATTTAGCCAACTAGTCATTGCACTAGCCAGTGAATGTTTGTTTATTGTTTACTGCAAAACAGCTAAGTAGCTTTAGCGTTAATATATATCCGCACTGCCGCAGGGTGTTTTGGACGGGACCTTAAATCCCACTGCCCGGTCTTGGACCAGACCCCGGGCTCAGCTTCTCAGAACCAGGATTTCCCATCCCTGAACTGAGTGGCTGGTTTGATGGCAGCCACGGCCAGTGCCCGGCGGTTACCTATGGGTGTGCGGACATTTAGTGACTTTCTTCAGATTGCCACTGTGGGCTCCCCTCGCTCGTGTCGTACAGCGGTTTCAAGAGGATGTATGCGACAAAACATCAGGTAAGCCTGTCGTGGAGACGCTGTAACGTTAGTCTTTAATGACACGGCTAGTCCTTCAATACCGAGGGGAAGGTTATAAGCTAACTTTATCAGGGTAACTTAGTCACATGTATGTTTTCTTATCTCAAAAAGTGTTCTCCATTAGGGCAAGAGCATTGTGACTTTGATACCTTGGTTAAGACTGTTCATATTGAATACAGATTCAAGTAGCAGACACCCAGTTATGGACCAATGTGGAACCAAAACCAGTTACCAGTATTCAGTGCTGTCTCACCAATATTGGCTGATTTATTGATAATGTATTTGCAAGATAATGAAAAAGTATGGATGCCTTTTGGACATGGCTATTACAAGATGGTTTATAATTTTTCCTAAATAAGAAGACCACACTGGTTTTTTGTTTGTCAGATGGCATACAGACATGTTCTTAATAAAAAAAAACAGAAATTCCATCACAAGTAATAGCTAAATAATGTCGAACCTACTGTATTACTTGTTAATGTTAGCTGATATGCAGTGCTATATATTAATGTATTGAGGTCATCCCCAGTTAGGGGTGTGCCATATCATATAATTCATCATCATGTTGGGTTTTTTGTGATGACAGCGAGCATGCAGAGTCTGCACATACAGCAGCAACAACATTGCTGAAAGACTCCCAAAAAGAGGTTTGGATAGAAAAAGTCAGGTAACCAACTGTAACATGTCAGCAGAGGGGGGCAAAACAACAAACTTTAACCATATTTCTTCAAGTTGAGTATAAAGAGAGCAAAGAAAATCACAGGAGGAGAGCGGAACAGCTTATTTTTAAGTCCCAAAAAAAAACAAACAGACTTTGTCTATTGCCACAGGTAGTTTTCAAGTTATCAAGGTTATTCATTTATCATTATACAAGACAAGGCTGTACAACAAAATTAAAGTTTGTAGCCCCTTCATGCTACACACATAGAAACCTTTGTTTCACTTAAGTTAATGTTACAATGGGGTAATATATAAAATAAATTTAATAAAACAATATAGGCCTCTACAGTTATTTGTATATACAAATGCATATACACCCAGGAAATAATTATGTTGTGCATTCTTTGAATTTGTGTCTGGGAGAATGTAAACAGCAGTAACCAGATAGTTATAGTTTTCATCTTCACATAAAAAAGTTGTGAAAAAAAGTGATTTTTGGGAAATAGTGACCATTCACTTTGACTGTTGTTTTAAGGGAAATTTCAGCCATCCCTCTCTCTGCCAAAACTCTGATTCTACAGGTTATTTATCGAGAAACACATTGCTAAGTGGTGTAACAAGCCTGAGTGGATGTCACATCGCGTTGTTTTTTGCTATTCACACAAGAGGCCCAACTCGGAAAATACCAGCACAGTCACAACACAGAGACCTTCCATTACTTCCTGGACCAGTGTTCTTTATGTACTCATTGACTTTAGTTGCTGGAAACTGGAAGGTAGTGGGCTTTCTTTGTTGTGGACTGTATCTGTTGCAGTTTGCACTCTTTCCAGAATGTGGCTTATGGGACATTTCCTCTTACCTTTTAGACACTTGTCATCATGTGGCATTTTGATGACAAGAACTCCCAGAGTGCTTTGCCTTCAAGACTGGGACACAATGACAACTGTTCCCCAAAGCAGAAACTTCATCAGCCTCACCAACAAAAGGAAGGAGTACTCCGAGCGTAGGATACTAGGGTAATTTTTCAGTATGAACTAGTAATAAGTTTATCTCAAGTCAAGTGAGTTTTTTTAGTATTATAACATTGTAGTGCTTGTTGTTACAGGTTTTCTATGCAGGAAATGTATGATGTGGTGGCCAATGTTGATGAGTACAAGAACTTTGTGCCCTGGTGTAAGAAGTCCCAGACCATTATGAAAAGAACAGGCCACTCCAAAGCCCAACTTGAAGTGGGATTCCCTCCAGTCATGGAGAGATACACATCTATGATCACTAGTGTCCGGCCTCATCTAGTCAAAGTAAGTGCCAGTAGCTTCACTGCGTCTGCCAGTCCTGTGAATTAATATATAACTGATCTATTTAATGTAACATCTGTTTGGATGGAAATTGTATTTGATATTGCTGTTTTAAATGTCAGCAACTACAACAACCTCAACGCAAATTTTAGTTGAAGCAGATAATGTTTTTGATGTTAACAATCACCCATTGCTCAAAATTCCCATTTCTAATAAGAGTTTCTGTTGTGGGTGTTTTTAGGCAGTGTGTACAGACGGAAAGCTGTTCAATCACCTGGAGACAATATGGCGCTTTAGTCCAGGCATTCCTGGTTACCCTCGGACCTGCACGGTAGACTTTTCTGTAAGTAGCCTGTAGCTTGCTTCCTATGGTAATTTATAGACTGTGTATCAGGCCATCTGCCCCTCTTGATGCATTTATTATAATAATCTTTATTAAAGGAATAGCTTGACATTTTGGGGAAAACATAGCCCCACACAGTGTATGAGACAAAATTCCCGAAAAGCCCCATAGAAAAGCTCAGGGAAATGGTTGTGCGCTGCTCTTTAACAGAGGAGGGGTGGTTAACCGGACATACATTTGCCAAGCTAACCAGTTGGTCTTCATCTTTAAAGGCCTTTTTTTTTTCTTGAAAACCAACAATTATAGTTTAAAAGCACTTTGATAACAGCTGGAAAGCATAAATGTCACATTTATGTTGCTTGTCCAAGTAAGTCTTTTTTAACTTATTGTGGTGGACTCAAAATTGCCCATTGAGGGCGGAAAACACCCACTACTACTACTACGGTTGGTGAGGACCACAGCTGCTTTCCCGAGCTTTTCTATGGAACCATCCAAGACTGTCTCCCAAGCAGTGGATGAGACCTTCCTAAACACTTGTGTGCTTTCTTGCAGAAGCTCAAAACCACTGTCATGTCTGAATGGTAAGTATGAAGCAGCAGACAGTTAGCTTAGCTTAGCATAAAGACTATAAGAAGAGGGAAACAAAACAACAAGTTGTGGTTTAACAGGTGTATATGTGTGAGACTATTTCTTTTCAGGGAGCAGTGACTTCCTGGAGTCTCCGCTCTGTAACTAACACACGCCAGGAAGCCACTGTGCCTGCAGGCTAGCCAAGAAATAGCTCCACACATAACCTTTATTACCTTCAGACAGAGCCAGGCTAACTGCTTCCCCGTTTCCATTCTTAAGGCTAAGATGAGCTAATTGTCTGCTAGTTTTAGCTTCATATTTATCGAACAGAAATGAGTGTTATCGATCTTCTCAACAAGAAAGCAAATAGGCTTATTTCCAAAATGTCTGTTACTATTAACTATTCCTATTTAATTGTTGCCATATTTTATGACTTTTGTTTTCTGTCTGGCACATATTAAAAAGATTGTTATTTTTTGTATCCTTAACAGATATCCTTTGAGTTCCGCTCTTTGCTGCACTCCCAGTTAGCCACCATGTTCTTCGATGAGGTTGTAAAGCAGAATGTCGCTGCGTTTGAGCGGCGAGCCTGTAAGCTCTACGGCCCAGAGACTCGTATCCCACGAGAGCTGATGTTTCACGAGGTGCATCAGACGTGATCTCAGCAGCTGTATGTCCTCATCTGGCCTTAAACCATATCAGCTTTTATTCCCTTTATCCACACACACCTGCATGATGGTGATCAGTCGCCCACCACTTCAGGTCAACTTCAACTCCTGAAGATGTTAGACATCCAACTCTTGTAAGCATTATTTTGGAATCCCTGCCTCCAAAAAATCTTGCTTATCTCCTCCTCGTGTTAATATCCACTTTCTGTCTACCTCCACTTAAGGGATCCTTGTTTAGCAGAAGGAATCCACCATTTCTTTTGCTCCATGGCAGTTGTATTTATGTAAACAAAACAGTAAATCATTGCAACATCATCACCAATGGTAGAGAGTCGGCTATTATTCTAAATGATCAGCACAGTGACACTGAAAAAACCCTGTTTATGTAAATTTTATTTTATTTTATAAAATTACATTTTCTCTTAACTGAGGTCAAGTTTTATAGTTCACTGTGACCTCAAGGTTACTTGCAACACTGGCACCCTACCAAGTCAGTCAAGTCTTTTCAGTTTTAAGTTGACCAGCACTTTGATCAGCTGATTATACTGTATTAAGAAAGCATATTCTTTGCCTTTTTACATTTACCATTTATTTCAAATTGAATTTTTAATATATTGTGCCATGTTTGGGACGTTGTGTTGTGACAGAATCAATGAAGTGCAACATTTGCAAAGGTAAAATGGTAATTTCTTTATTAGTTACCTGTGCCCTCGATTGACTTTGAGATTTGGGAAAATAAGCTTCAACTTGGCTGTTTTTGTGCCGTGAGAATTTGTGTTTTTGGACATTGAGACTTGGCCTGCCAGTTTTTATAGTTCCTTATTTTACAGCCCAGCACTATTAACTATCACAAAAGATTAACAGAGGTGGGGTGAATCTAACTTTGCACAAACAAGAGCACCTAAATTAATCTATGAACAGGCTGGAGAGTACTGTGAAATACTGTAAATAGGGTTACAACAAGAAATGTCAGATTATATAGCATGACTACAACTTTATATTTGAAAATATTTTTTCATTTTATAGACTTATAAACATAGATTAAAAATTATTTATAGTAATCTGATTAGGTCACAGTTATATTAATTCAGTTGATTATTTTAGTGATGATAATCAGTTTGTAACAGATAATGTAAAAGTTTTCCTACTCTGCTTTTTGTATTTTATGGTCCATATTCTGGAGGGGATCAGAAGGATGATACTCCTGTCATTGTGAGTATAAAATATACTGCTGGGCTGTAGAATAGAACATTTTCAATCAGTTATCATTGCCTATGGGTTTCATGCTTACTTTTCTGGATGTTTTAGCTTTTATTTACATTTAAGCTGGATGGATGTAACCAAAAAAAGAGGAAAATATAGTCTGTAACATAAGAGTTCATGCATTGCATTGTTAGGGCATGACTATTTTTAGTTGGGTTATACATTTCACGTAAAAGTAATCCATGGCTTTATTCCGTGCTAAAGGGCTCATAAAGTTCATTGATTGTATTTGCCATTTTTAGAGGTGACTGATTTGTTCAAGATGCCAAAGGTCAATGGAAGAAGTCATTCATGTGTGACCCTCCTCATAAACGGCAGTTCATTATGTTCACATGCTCCAAGTCTCATGCCCCAATAAAACTTGAGTATTTTTAAGAGTTTGGTTTCCAAGTTGATGTGGTTTATTTTCTCTGTTGGTAAGGTGGTTGGAAATGGGGGGGAAAAAAGTAAATAATTAATGTATGAAGAATGTTTGAATTGAAATGGGTCTGTGAATCACTTATGTAAAGAAAACCACACAGTAAGTTATTTAAAGATCATTAATGCTACTGTTGAGTGTTATATCCTTAATATCTATTTTATTGCCGAAGCCTATTTTATACCATAGTGGAACTCTCTTTAGGCATGGTGTTCACATTATCAGTAATGTCGCATCATGTACAAATGCACCTTCAGCCCAAGTTTTTTGTTGTTGCTTGAGATTTTTTTATTTTCAGTATTTTGCTTACAGATTTTAATTTCATGCAAGGTTTTCTAATTGTAGGTGAGACAAAAGTATAAACGCAAGATATTAGTATATATGACCACCTATGAAAGACCCTTTGTCTAACAGTGGAAGCCTAGTATGTATAATAAGGATGGAGACACATTACTATTATTGACTGAAGAGTTGCTACAATAAAATATATAGCTTTCATTTTGAAGTTCACTTTGTGTTCCAAGCTAAAATGCATCTTTGTAAATACTGTAGGTGTATTTCAGAGCTTTATTTAAATAAAAAAAGCATGTTGAATTTCTTTGTGTGCTGTCATTTACAAATTGCTCAAAGCTTTTTTTGTAGACTGCACCTTTTCAGTGATTTGATTGCAAACCTTTTTTCCCCCCCCAACAGCAACCGTTAAGGTTATAATCTAGTACACTTAGATGAAGCTTTGTCACCACAAATGTGCACAGAGGGGAGAGTGTCACCTTCGGTGCAGTGACAGAGGGTGGAAACAACTCTTCAAAAGTCAGCTGACCAACAGGAAACCAGAGTGGGGTGGTGGTATGTGGGCCAGTTATTAATAACAGCACATAGGTGTGTATCTTCTTTCTTGATCATGTCAGTTGCATTTGTTGCAGAAAAGGCAGGCCTCAAACTTTCTTGTCACACATGAAGACACAGAACTAATGACATTTAAATTGAAGCCCTACCTTGGAAAGCAATGGTATTACCAGAAAGATTAATTTGGTCTGTAGTAATTGCATTGAAAACCTTCCAAAATTCAAATGTCTAATGCTGTATGTCTCAACAAGTGACTCAAGAGTTAAAGAGTGATAATTAACAGAGCGAAGTGTTTGTCTAAACTGTAATGTCATCCTCACATTACAGACGTGACAGGAATTCTCATAAAATCCTGCTATAAAACAAGTGGACATGACACCGATCTCACTCTTCAGTGGTTGTGTTTTCAGCTGTCATTATGTAGAAAAAAACAGATAAGTTGAATTACATCCTTACAGCAGATGACATGATTTATTTTACAGGCACTTTTCTATACCATTAACAAATCAAGACCAAGAAAGTGTTAATAAAAACCTTTATTATTTTCCATTTTTTGTTAGGTTTTCCAATATTGGCTCTTTAAGCATTTCTTGCCCGTTTGACCCATCCAGCTCCTTCCCCAAGTGTTTCTCTGATGAAACCATCTACTCCCTGTTGCCATGTACCGACCCTTTATGCTCCTCTACGATCAAAATAACCCCGTCTCTCGAACAATGCACCACATGAAAGAACACTACAATAAAACACAAACTGTAAAGACTGATAAAGCAAGACGGAAGATAGCAGCTGGTAGCAGAGCAGAGGTTCAAACATCTGAGTGAACTACTAACACGGCAAGAGCAGTTTTGAAATGATGATGCAGGAGCTTTAACTACACAAAAATGGAGTGTTGACAAACCCAGAACTTAAGAGCAAGCTTGAAATATTCAAGTGAAACACCTGAAAAACAGCACCGACTAAGCCCACTGAGCTAGGCAAGAAATCGTGTATATACAAGATAGCTGCGTTTTTTTCTTTTTGTTCGTTGTCAGAATTTCACAGTGACCAGTAAGACTGAAAATTACAGTTAGACTGGACACCACTACAATGTTGGTAAACTATGGTAATCATTGTGGTTATTACAAGCAAGTGATCGCACACAGCTTATACATTCAAGCTATACATATATATACCTATGTACACAAAGTATAAATAAAACCACAAAATGAGAACCCAAAGATTATCGTTCTATACATATTCAACACCAAAAAAAATGAAAAGGGATATAATCAACCTGGGAGGGAGGGGTTCTACTGCTACAAATTAGGAAATCCAATCAAGCAAGTGCTCATTTTGGAGTAGTTAATGTTTAAAGCGCTCTTCTGTGGGGATGAAGTAACAAACATACACTCAAATAACACAGGACCTTTAACAAATACAAAGCCCCCTTATCCCACTTTGCATTCAAGCTTGCTCTTAAGGATTTACTACAGGCTGTCAATTACAACACCCTTTGCTGAAATCTTTATTTTTTACTGTTCTGTACATTATTCCTGATTCTCTACCATTCATATGACCCTTTAAACAGAGACGCCCTTTAAAAATAGGAAAGCATGTCAACGAAAAAGAGCAGAGGGAAATAATTTCTACACCGACAAGGTAGTTATTTTGATCATAGAGGGAATTACAGGTCATTATTAAAACGAAAAGGAAAAAAAACACTAAGCTGACGAAAAAGGGAGACCAAAGATTTAAAGGAGCAGTATCTTTTAACTAATTTTCATGTTTTTCAATTTGTGCCTTGAACGGCTTGATGATTGTACATATAAGGACCTTTTTTTTTCCTAAACTGGAGTGTTCATAAATGGGAGTGAAACACATGGATAGACTGGTTGGGATGACATCTGTGAACATTGCATAGAAGAAACTAAGTTGAGTCTTCATTGGGACGTCATCTCTAAACAAATCACTGCATTAGCTAAAAGCAGCAAACGTTGAGTCAGGTATTTAACTTTTGATCTTTCAACAAATTCAAAGGAAGTGTAATCAGTCACTCCCATAGTTCCCTTTGAATGCCACTGCCTATTCACAATCCAGACCCAGTGCACAATGACAAACATCCAGGTACTGCACAGGGGGATATCTTAACAGACTTGTAATGGTAGATAGTGTGGGCCTACTAGGGGTTACATGTATGTGTATCTGAGGTTTTCACCTCTCATGATGTATGATGGGAAAACATGCCAATGGATAACTAAACACACTTAAACATTAATGGGTGTGACAATTTGAAAGGCCCTTATGATGTGAAATGACATTAAAAGTGTACTGTCTCTTTGAATCCCTGGGGTTGGAAATAACAGCAGGTCAACGTAATTCTGCCTTTTGATATTTCCACATCCTCCCACCCCTTACACTAACCCCCAGCTCCTTTCAGGTGGTTCTTCAGCCTGACTTGGCTCCCACCAGTTTCATCAGTCCATCTGTGCTCATGGACTTGGGGCGCTCCAACGGAAAGCCCAGGGCTCTGCTCCACACCAGCTGAGCCAGCACCCCAAGGGCTCGGGACACACCGAACAGCACAGTGTAGTAATTCATCTCAGTCATTCCATAGTACTGCACAGACAGAGGAAAGGCATGTCAGGATCTGTTTTTGCTACCATTGCAGGACAAAATGTAGATTAAAAGCCACCACATGTGCCTTACCTGCAGCAGCACTCCACTGTGGGCATCCACATTGGGCCAGGGGTTCTTGGCCTTACCCTGCTCCAGGAGCACGTCGGGCACAATCTTGTAAAGCTGGGCCACCATCTTAAACATGGGGTCATTGGGCAGGTGCTTCAGGGCAAACTCACGCTGGCAGGTGTAACGTGGGTCAGTCTTCCTCAGGACAGCATGGCCATAGCCTGGCACAACCTACGAAGAGAAAAGTCAAATGTTCCTCAACTGCTTGTAATCTTCTAAAAAGTGTAGAAGATAGAAGTATTTGAAATTTGTTTTGAATTTTAAATCTCAGGCAAAGAGCCCTTGTGACAAAGGGCCAATCACCTTTGGTTTTGGAAAATGCTTTCCAAATTGAGGTAAGGCCAGTCTTAAAAATGCATGGCAGTATGGCAGATATGGCAACCAGATTTATCCTAAAATTACTAAATGTGAGTGCAAATATTTGTTCATAATGACTAGAATTTGTTGTGGAAGTGTGTCTTTACCCTTCCCGACTTGAGTGTGTTCCAGATGTAATCCCTCATTCTTTCATCGGACACCTCTCCGCCCAACTCCTTCTGCAAAGCAGTCAGCCACACCAGCACCTCCTGTGAGATGCAGAAGAAAATACATCAATGAGTTGTGTCATTATACACAATTATCATTCATTCTAAATAACATGAAGTACACAATTATCTTCCTTGATGTTAACAGAGCTTGTGCTGCTTTACAGTAAAAATAACAGCAGGGGAGTGTAGTGGAAAGTGCCCTTTCCTCTATGTGATCAGGGAATTTTAAATGGTTTAAACAGTATATATAACTATAACTATATAACTCTGACAATATGTCAAAGTCATCAGTATGGGAGCAAGCTGGGAAGTAAATGAGAGCCTGACTGATAAATTGACGTGCAGATATTTTTCAGCCGCCATGAGCTAATTGCTGATAAATCGGTATGTGTTTGTAACAGCAGATAAATGACAAGTTTTATAAAAAATGGAAAGACAGATCTTGTTATGTTATGAATGTTGTTGTTGCATAGTTTGTCCACCACAGGGCACTCTGCAACCTCTGTAGGCAACACACGTTTGGGACAGCACAAAATATAGCAGTCAGCTGACATAATTAGCTGTACTTTTGTTCAAAGTGCTATTTATAACAATAAAAAAAGTTTATTACATATACACACAACAAATGTTGGGGATAATCTTTGTTCTTTGCAAGCTCTGGAAAAAAGCTGTTGAAATGATCAGTGATTCAACTCTTATTCCTTTGTGTCACTATTTTCGTTCTGCCTTTCACCGGTCGTGCTGAAACGTGCCACAACAGTTAGCAGGAAAAAAATGTCAATCCTGAAGTGCAGAAATTTGAACTGTGAAAAGCACAGCTAATAACATTAATGATGGCTCTGTTTAATACAGCCTCTCAGGTGTCCCAGTTCGCCATGACAGTGAGCCAGCATGACACCAGGACCATGTCAAGATGTCTTCTGTGAAAAAGGCATATTGGAAGTCACTGCCCCTTGAATTTTATTTACTGTATGTGAAAATGGAGTGAAAACAATGAATTGCTTCGTACAAACCTGATTGGCCAGGCCATGCAGGGGACCAGCCAGACCATTCATGGCAGCGCTGAAGGACAGGTAGGGGTCAGACAGGGCACTACCCACCAAGTGGCTGGTGTGGGCACTAACATTGCCTCCTTCATGGTCACTGTAACATTGCAAATCAAAACACCTGTCAAATGTCACCTCAGCAATTTTCAAAACAAAAGTGACTATATTAAAGCAGCCAGATATAAAAATCTTGTCTGACACTGCTATCCAATCACCGATCAAAATGGAAATAATGGCCATTCACCTAGGCTTTGTGTCTGAACAATACATTTATGCACTTCAGCAATAAAATGTGCAGTTTAAATGTGAATTAGAATAACCAGTGAGGACTTATAATTTGTCACTTTAACTCCAGGTTGTGTTATTTGCGAATATTTAATTCAGAAGGAAGAAATTTTTTGGGTGAACGAATTGCGTTCAGTCACTCAGTTGTGAACAAACGTTCAGGGATGCACTCAGTGATTCAAGTCATTTGTTTGCAGGATGAATGGGGTGTGTTCAGGACAGCAAATATAAGGCTAGTTCAAGTTGCTTACATTTAGCTGCAATGTCAACAATATGGGGGGGAGGGGGTGTTTACAATCACGATGCCTGACCCAATCCTACTGCTTAGCACACAGGTTTGATGCCTAAACAAACTATAGGCTGTGTAAAATAACATCATCCAGTATTTATTAATTGTACCTCTTTGAAATTATGTAGGTAGCAGCTTGTTTCAGGATATCAGGACTATTGTCAGTGTAGACCTTTCACCAAACAATGCATTTGGAAGGATGCTTCTGTGAAAGTTCACTGACTTGGCTAAACAATCAATACCCAGGTACCTTGAGTTAATAATGTAAAGTGAACAGTCTCACATATGTTTAATTGTCTAAATCCTGATGATTTTTACATTAGGTACGTTAGGTCTGAGCTCTAGAGATGAAAGAAACAACGGGAGGGTTCCTTAAATCACACTGCACTTCTTTTAGCATCAAGTGTTCTGAAAGCCAAATATTGGATAATTCTTTCAATTAAACAGATTAGACAAAATGTTTTTTTTTAACACGTTACTTCTTTTTCCTTATGAACTTCTGGATATTATATTCCGTTATCAGTCTTGTGTTTTGAAATCTTAAGACCATGTTATACATGAAAAAGTCTCATTTCAACATGTTATCCCTTAGATTCTTTGTTATGTTATAATCCATGGATCAGGCATGTGATTGGCAAAGGGCAAAAAACCAAGAAAATATACTGACACCCCTCCCCCCACACCCCGATAAAACTGGCGTTGGCTCTATTATAACATATGGATGATAAAGCAGGACCCACGACAACACGACAATAACTTATTTGGTGGATGTGTTGCAGTGCAAAGACAAGTGTCTAATCCACTGCACCATCTCCACCTCTCTATAATAATAATGATTTTCTATTCATTTTTACCAAGCTTCAACAGCTAAATGTGCAACATGCAGCATGAAATAATTAATTCGATAACTAAATAAAATAACTACTAACTTTCAAATTAGTTCAGTAGAAGTTAATAGATTATTTTTAATGAATAAGAGACAGCAGCAAAGGTCGCTGCCTGTGTAAGACCTGGTGGCCTTACTGTTAAAGAAACTCAGGAAACTCAGCTCAAACAGCTGATCAGTCTCTGTCTATTGATAAACTGTAGGAGAAAGTTTGGCATTTCAACTCTGGCAGCGGGCGTGTGCGTGAGACGAGAACGACCATGACAGTTTCACGTGATCGCGCCAGTTACACAGAAGCCGTTGCCATGGTTACCTCGCGAAGCGCTTGTTTTCCTGTCTGTTGATGAGGAGCGACCCCGCGGATCAAAGCCTTATGAAAGGGCCTTATAAACCCCGTCACAACCATTCACAAGAAATTAATTTACAACGTGCCAAAGCCTTTAACATTCATACAGCAAAGTGTAGCCTATATGTCAAAGTAAACATAACATATAGCCTCTAACAAGCAATAATCAAATCATACCCAATTTATCCGATACTTATTGTCAACTCAGTGTTGGGAAAGTTACTCAGAAATAATACAGCTACTTACTAGTTACTTGAATTCGGGATTAATCAAGACAAATCACATCCCTGATGGATAAAATCAATACCATCTTAGTCCTTTAGCACAGAAAATAATCACTGTTTGAAGTGGTACCAAGCTCTTCTGAGTTTTGCTTCAAGCTCAACATTTAATATACATTAAAATTGCATGACTTTGATCAAAGTGTGACTAGAAAGAGAAGCAGAGCACAAATCCTCAGAAAAATTTCAAAAATCAAAGCTAGTTTATAACATGATAGGTATGCTTTAAAGTTGCACCTGTGGATGGTGAGATAGAGTCTCATTAGCTCAGTGAACTGGGCATCGCTGTAGCCCAGCATGTTGGTGAAGTTGTGGGACCAGTCCAGGTTGGAGTCGATGGCTCCGATACTGCTACCTTCGCGGTACAGGTTACGGTAGATCTTGGCAGCAATACAGGGCAGCTTGGCAATCAAGTCCATGGAATCTTCATAGACAAACTAAGAGAACCAATGGAAAAGGATTTTCAAACATTGTTTGATTGTTGTAAATGGATTCATCATCTTAGGACCAAGACTGTTTTCTGTGTGTCGAGGTAAACTCACCTCCCAGTACTTGGACTTGTGGACACCCTCAGAGTACGCGCGTGCAAAGCTGCTCTCGCTGTTCAGAGCTGTGATTGCAGCACTGAACTGAGACATGGGGTGTAAGTTTGTGGGGAAGTTATCCAACATGGTAACAACATGAGAGGGAAGTGCTGCTCTCTTCGCCCACTCTTTGGACACCCAGTTTACCTGGAGGGACAGGGGCACACAAAATAAGTGGTGTGACCTGAAATACTTGCTTTTCTGCTCTTTCTACAGCAGGTGAAAAGTTGCATACATGTCTGTAGCAATGCTTGCTAACAGACACATGTACACAGATTAAGCGATAAGTTGACTTTTCTTTCTAAATACCATACATGTACTACCAAGGAAGGTGTTACGATCTTCATTTTAGAAGTACAACAAACATTTTTTGTTACGGAGAAACAAAAACCCCCATCTAATTCACCCTCCTTAGCTGACTTCTTTGAGTACATACCAGACACATTCAAGTTCATAATATGAAAGAGCAAAGGGTTACGAGGTGAAAGCTATTCTTTCAGTGAAAGATTGCAGCCAGGTTGTCCTCATATAACTCTTCAAGGAGATAGCTGGCAGCAATAAAAAGAGTATTTAAAAAAGGCACAGACTGTGTCTTGTTTCCCAGTTAAAAAACAATCCATATTTATAGGTTATCTGGAGTCATAGATAATTGAAAATCATTTCCAATACTTCTGCTGTCAATCTTGTGATCAAGTCAACAGTAATAATTTTATGACTCACATCTTATCAAGTTCCAGTATATGCCCCCTTCATCTACATGTATTATTCTGCAGGAATTTTTAATTTTAAAAATACTGAAACAATGTTGGGACATTCTGTACAAATCTGACAAGCAGTGTCTGAGATATCAGCATTGACAGATGGGTGTAGAGAATGAACAGCTGCACAGCCCTGCCTCATTATAGCTCTACTGTACAACCAGAAGAGTGCACTCAGTAGAGGGCAGATCTCTTCCAGGTGTGTCTGGGGGCATTTGGGCAGGGAACAGGGAGTGCAGGGCAGGGAACAGGGAGTGCAGGGCAGGGAACAGGGAGTGCAGGGCAGGCAGTGTGTATGCATCAGAGTAGTGGAATGAATGGGAGTTTTTTTTTTTTCTATAGTATAGTGTAATATTTTTAATACAGTGTTTTTAATATAGGATAGTCTTTTCTTCAAGATGCATAGAACCGTGTCATGGTATTGTACAAACTTAATGAGTAAACAAACTGCAGCCTCTCCCCTTCTCTCTGTGTCAAGGCTTGAGCATACATTCATAAATGTACACAAAGAAATATTAGGCTAATGGGTCCAGTAGCACACAAAATTAGCTGCTGACAGATCCACATGCACAAACGCATGATTATTATCTCTGCAGTTCTGGCGCTCCCACTCACCTGCTCCTCAGTCGGCACCTGTCCTGTGACCAACAGCCAGAAGAGGCCCTCAGGCAGCGGCTCCTCACCTCCTGGAGCTTTAGGCAGCAACTTCTGACACTCTGGAATGCTGTAGCCCCGGAAACGGATTCCCTGAGGATCAATGCAGAGAGGCAAATGTTAATATACATATTCAAGATATCCTGAAATGCACCATCATGTAAGTGTTGGCAAGCTGCCAACATGAGCTCTACTAAAGAATTTGGATAATTCACTATCTCATTCTATGTGGTGACATGGAACAAGATATACATTAATTACCCCTATAGATATATTACCCCTCTGCCACTGAAAGCTCTCAGCTTCAGTAATGCCTGGTGCACACTAGAGGTTTTTCAAATCTTAATTCTTTAAGATTTAAAAAAAAATAATGACAGAATGAACTGATATTTTTTGTACTTTAATCTTAATAACCACACACACCAGACAATTCAGTAAAGACAGACTTGGCATTAAAACTAAATTATTTCAGAATGGCAATTCCTGGGAGACCTGGGATCTCATAGAAACTCGCGTGATCAAACATGGCTTCAGCCATAGACAAACATGGAGACAGACTGCTTTCGTCAGGTAGTTACATTTGCGTATGCTGTGTTTTACTCACAAAAACAAAAAAAAAGATGATAAAATTATGGATGAACACAAGGCTCAGAATAGGGAATCAGCATAGTTTATACATTTTATGGCGCAAGCGAATACACAACACGTTTGTGACGTTTCCCAGTCAGAATGCTCTTATTGTCTGTTGCGCATTTCTAAAGGGAGGATCCCAGATTTTATATCGTTCCCATCAAACATGTCTGAAACGTTTTGAAATCGGGGAGCCTTTGATCCAGTCACCAACCTTAAGATTATGTCTGTAAACCACTCAGACTGCAGGATCATTTGGGCCGATAATCAGTTCTGACCAGCCTCGGCTCAGGAACGACTCCACAATTGTCTGAAGCTGCGAATCGAACCCAAATCTGCCCAATTATCCTCTAATATGCGGCCAGCATAATAAAGCAGTCAACGTAAGTGCCTACAAGGCCAGCTAATCTCCAAAGGTCCATAGGTGTTCATATTATAAAATCCCTCTAAGGATCTTAATGCCTTGTTTACATTCAGCTGACGCTTTTATCCAAAGTGACTTACAATTGCTATACATGTTAGAGGTCGCACACCTCTGAAACTAGGGGTTAAGTATCTTGCTCAGGGACACAATGGTGGATGGGTCACAGTGGGGGATTGACTCAGGGTCTCTCACACCAAAGGCAGGCATCTAATCCATTGCGCCATCACCACCCTTGTGCCACTTTTGAGTCATACTGACCTCATCAGGATCCAACACAGAGGTCTCATACACCAGACCCTTCATTCCCCTCATACCTCCATAGACCTGTGGATAAAAACACAAGCATATTACATATTGAAAACTGTCTTGTTAACACTATCTATCCATCCATCCATCTACACAGTTGTGTGTTCACAGTAACAACAGTTATGTAACATTGGACCTTTAAACCCCAAATCTACTGACCGCTCTGACTGTGGCTCAGCAATTGCCAATGCTGGTTACCAAGGTCTTTTACAAACACAGGAAGAAATAACCAAAATCCTCTTTAACGTTAAATACCATGCACTAGAAAATGCACTTGAATACTACTAATAAATAAATTTACATAACATAGATGGTACACAACTGATCGCTTACTTCTTGTTGTTGAAAGTGAAACAGGTCCAAGTCAGGACCTAAAAAATTCCTTATGGTAACTAGCCAGAGGTCAGAGGTGTAGTGAGTGATAAACAAAAAAGGATGACGTAGTTGTTGCATTGATGTGTGTGAGCAGCAAGGAACTGGCAGTGTACAGTAGAGGTTTGAGTTACTCAGCTAAAATGTCTGTTGGCAGGAAGCAGTACAGCTTCTTATTGTGACCTCAGAGGGACATGACCCAACAGTCATACCTGACACAGTAAATAAGGCTGGGCAGGCCTAGACGGATTAGGTGGAGCCAATATGCCACGTCTAAGCTACATTAAGGTCCATGGCCAACTTGCTCTTTCCTAAAAGAATACAGCTGGCTTTGATTCTCATTGGTTTATGGTCATTTTTTTCTGGCCACTTGACACATGTAACAATCCTGTTTATTTTTTCCTTCTCAAGAGCAACTCACCATGTCAACAGTAACCTGTCCTATGTTGGTTTTTCCATGCTGTTGCTTGAAGTTCTTGATCCTGGTCTGTTCTTTGGGGATAAGGTCTGCCAAAACATCCTTCAGATTCTGTAAAAACACAACATTTAAATCACTCATGCCCTTGAACAAGCACCTGGTCTTAAAATAAAACGCATTCCTCCAATGTGAACCAGTTAAACAAACTATGTAAACATTTCAGGAAAAAATTGATCTGCAGCTCCACAAAAGGCCAGTGTTCTATTAATACACAAGAGAACAGAGATAAAACCAGTACCTTTTTCAAATGCTGCACACAGATTAGCACTTACACTACAGATTAGCAATGCAGGAAACTTTGAAGAAAGCAGACAAGTTTGGAGTGAATAGAGTGTACTTACTGTTGTTGATGCACTGGCATTTCTGGCAGCCACAAGGAAGTAGGTGGCATTCTGCGAACAGACAAAGAAATAATAAGATTTTGAATATTAATAGCAAAACAACAAACCCTCAAAATATTGTGGACAATAACAATGACTTCCTATTAGCTAGCGAGTGAAATGACAAAAAGACATGGTTTCGAACCACATCATACATGGAGAAATTCAGTTCTTTTTGTTGATGGTTCTCCAATTAACAACATCTATGAACTGAGTAAACCAAGACAGGCTTTAAATCAAACTTAATCATCTACAGACCAAAAACATTTCACCTGATGCATGGAGGATAACCCCACCAAAGAAATCCATTCACTAACTGAAGGCTTTCAACTGATTGCCAATGATGTGAAGATGTTTTAGTCATCCAAACATTGTTCCACCTCTATCAAACAGCACCAGTGTGTGCCATTAAAAAAAAAACATCACATGCCACACAATCACCAGTCCAAAATGTATGATTGATTCATGCGCTCATGTGGTTTCCAGTTTTCCATAATTCTGATGCTGGTGTCATGTGATATGAAATGTGATATTCTGAAATGCTGTCTTCTGTTTAACTCATTAAATTCAGGACATGCTTTTGTATTGTAACATGCTGCAAGATGACTCACCACAAAATGGTAAATAAAGGATAAATAAAGGGCATTTTGATAAGATGATTTTTGCATGACTCAGATAAGACTAGAAATATAGTCTGGAAATATACAGGTGATTTTCAGTGTTTCTCATTTAGCTCGGTGTTCTTGAAAGTCTGGCAGGTATTTGCCCAGATGAGCTATGTGATGGAAAAGAACATTCACACATTACACAGCGACTTAAACATTTCTCTATAACTATTGCTTTTGTTCTTAAGCCTTTGGTCCGTTTCTGGTTCAACACTAGAGAATGTAGAGAGATTAAAAAACTACTGGCCCTGTTTATGAAAAGTGTTTGGAGGCTAGTAATCTTGTTGGAAGCTCAGTGACAGTAATGAGAAATTGAGCCTGCTGCTGCTCACCACTGACACAGGACTCCTGTCAGATTATTGATATAATCAATGGGAGAAAGAGGAGTCTGGGGAACAGCTGGCTCTGTTCCCAATGGGATCCCCTCCCTGTAACCACAATTGGTGAGAGTAGATAAAGGGCAGATAAGGTTCACCGAAACAAAAGGTAGGATCTTTAGTCACCACACAGACTCTACAGAGCTGAGAGAGGGAGATTAAGTTACGGCTCAGGGTCTTAAATATAGAGCCCAGTTTGACTCGCTCACTTCCTGGCTGGGAGAAAAGTTGAGCAACTACACTGCCCAGAAGTGTCAGTCCAGAGGATGTCATTAAAAGAAACACGTGGAAAAAACAAAACTACACCTACAACCTGGCTTGAGGAAGAAACTTTGTGTATAGCAAACACAATTGTTTTGTGTCTGTTCTAAATATACAACCTGGCCGCAGGAAGAAGCTTTGTGTATAGCAAACACACATGCGTTTGTGACAGTTAACTGCTACCTAATGCCAAGTAATAAACTATGCATTTATTAAAAATCAATCCTCATTAACCAAAGTCCAGAAAAATACTGCACTTTTAAGAAGCAGGTTTTGAACACAAAAAATCCAAAGATACATGAAAGTCAACTTCCTCTTCTTAAAAACTAAAATTATCTGAAGCAAGAAGCCAGTATAAGACCACATGTTTATACTGCACTCTCTCTCTCAATCCTGGGAGTGATTTTCAGTCATAGTTGAAAGAAACTATTATATGGTCAAAGTATGTATATATGTAAATACAAAAAAACTGCTTCCTAATAACTCTCCTGAGTAAAGATTACAACTGACACAAGTTATCGCTACATTTTCCTAATTGCAAGGCCGATAACGGGGGCACGATACCACCCAGTGTGTACAGAGTTCAAGGAAGGAAACCATTTAGTCACTGACTACTTGTTTGAGAGGAGGAACATCTAGTTAAGTTAAACGAAATGTTTCAGTAGTGGATGACACAAGTTGATATGTCAGTAAGGAGTAGTCCACGAGGAGGAAAAGAAGAAGTCACTGGAGTAAGACAGTAGGTTACAGTCACTGGAAGGTTACAGTCAGCATGGACAGTCAACTTACTTCATGGCTGACAGTGTATCAGCAGGCTGACCAAAGCACACTATGCCATCAGGTGGTGTAATTATGACATATTCTGTTAAGTATTAAAGCAATTACCATTTCGTAATCACACAATAAACTTGTACAATCTGCCAACTGAGATGACATTTTAAACTGATGTTAGAAGTCTGAACCCACACTATAATACAGATTTATGGAGCTTTTACATTTTTGAGAACATACAACATGTTTTGAGGACCTCGTCATATGTTAAAACAATTGTTGGCTAATATCTAAACGTGAAGGTCAACGGGGAAGAAACACAAAGCTGTAGATGGGTTAAAAAGCAATCGCTGTGTGTTCAACCGGTCAAAATTAATAAACATTTACTACTAAGACAGAAACAGGACAGGCGAGGTCGTACCGTAGCACCAAGTTAACGCAGCTGGTCTATAACTTGCTGGTTTAAAAAAAAAACTGTCCAGGGCAGGCCAGCATAGAGAGCAACGGCTCCTATGCTAATGTTAGCTAACAGGACACAAGTTATCAAACAGTACAACTCAAACGTTTTAGCATCCACATATAAATCAGCAACAAATAATACATGCTCTTAAACCCCTTTGCACTATTTTAGCAATTATTATTAGCCACGCTCTTGCTCAACTGCATTTCACACTCTGGTTAACAAGGCTAAGCTAGCTAACGTTAACTAGGATGCCATTATGTCGTTAGCCTGCTAACCTAACGTTAGCTTCCAAAGTAACGTCCACAACTTTGACTGAAGTGGTATCAAGGCCGTTTCTAGTCCTCTTACCTTTGAATTGAGGAGTTTAGGTGCTAACCTGCTGACAGTAAGAAAGGACATTGTGTCTGTGTAAAAATGTTTTCACTTGTTCTTTACAACTAAAGGAATCCGCTGCCAGTGCACCACGGAGCAGGTTGAAGGTGCCCCTCCAGAAATCAGAAGGTTGAAGAGGGATTCAGGCCCGCACATAGCAGCATTGTCGATTGGACGAAGGGCTGGATCGGTACAACGGCGTATATTGATCTGATTGGCTAGAAGGCCATTGGGCGTACGCTGATTGGCTATAGGCCCTCCCTTTGTTTGTGACGACATCTGACGATCAGGGTCTGTTCAAGAACAAGTTTTATAGGTAGCTTTTCTATTCAGTTGAAGCAAAATTAATGTCATAGTGATAACAGTTGATTAGTGATAACAGTTGATTAGGCACCCTTGTCTGAATAATCCAATATAGATTCTCATCTACACTAATCTTTATTTATTAAGTTTAAGTACAAATACTTTCTTTGCACAGGTGCAGTTAAAGGGCATCTTACATGTTGCTCAAGTACAATGTGCAAAATAAGGTTTAAGGGTATAATGTTTTGCAAATTACCCTATCTACACCTAAATATTAGTCCTCAGTGTGATATTTTTAGCGTCCAGTTTCAGCATATGTTACTCACAATCAATCAGTGTTGGGAGCCAGAAATGGATCCCTTTCAGACCTGCTTTGAAAAACCTAAAATCAGTGGTCATGATCTTTGTAGCCATTTAGAGCAGTAATGGTAGATAATATTTGTTGTAAATGTCAAAGCAATACTTTGGCAGAGATCAAGTGTTAGCACATGATAGGTAAAATAAATTTCAGAATCACAATTTTCCCTCCAAATGGCTCTCTTAGACTACAGCCAGCCATGATTAATGAAGGGACCAAAGTAGAGTTTTGCTGTAAAACAAGAGGTTCCAACTTTATTGTCAAGGATTGCTGGAAAAAGGAGTAGCTGGTTGTCTAGAGTCAAGGGCATTTGTTTTCAAACCAACTGCATGCAGTTTACCAGTGTGGTTTGGTTGATAGCTTGATGGGCAAGCCCATTGTCAACTACCTTTGTGGCCTATAATGGCAGTTTTTCCAAATAAATATTTTAATTCTGCAATACACAAGGAATGATTAAAATGCCAAGATGTATCAAAACAGAAACATACTGTACTTCCAAATACAGTAAATAGACAGACTTATATAGACAGACAGACATTCTTGCAATCATTCTTGAATCAGAGCTTGTGGTGCAATTGCAAGTAATGCTAATAAAACCAGTGGATAAAATCCACAAAATGTGTTTGGCACATTTAGAAGGATCCATTTAAGCCAGGAACACCTAAAGACCTAAGACCTTAAATAACTCAGATTTTACAATAACATCTTAAAGATCGTGGAGAGTCTGCTAAGGCTACTGACCAGTAGGGCCAGTTTGCATGTTTAGAGTTTAGGATTCAAATCTCTTGTATTCATCTCTCAGACCTGTCTCAATTGTGTGATTTTGTATGACTGGGATCTGCATTAATCTGAATGTGATCCTTTAGTCTTACCTGCATTAATAAGTCATTAATTGTGTTAAGCTTTTGGGAATTTTTAGGTCTTTTAGAGCGTTTCCAGCTGTTCACAGATTTTAACCCTGATGGGTGAGATTTAGATTTGCAAAACACGGAAAATGCAATGTAAACTAATCCACATCATGCAGCCATTACGACATGCATGTTTTATAATCTTTGTAAACGTTTGGCAGAATCAGTAGCATTCTAGTCCACATCATCTCAGGTGAATTTTGTAAACAAACAATGCCTCAAACATACAGTATAACAGCAGAAATACATCAATTTTTCCAGAAGTTGTAGGAGGTGATCTGATGTGCTTGGTCCCTACTCCTGTGCTCTTGTGCCTCGTAATCCGACCCAAGGTAATGCATAAGATGGCATACAGTCCTAAGAGAGTCCTTCCAGAAGAAGGAAAGGGGCTCTGGTTTCATTCATCTTCTTCATCTTCATCCTCTATGGGATCTAGAAGGACGCTGTGCTTTAAGCAGGATTGGAGGTAGTTCACCACTGTCCGCTGGAAGTGCTGGATGCTGCGCGGCTCTCTCAGGATGTGGCCCTCGTCCGGGTACAGCTGCAGTGAGTAGTTGGCTTCCACCTTCACAAGTCGACTCAGGAGTTCAGCGCTGTGCTGGAAGTGTACCCTTGCTTTGGCCAAACACACACATACATTGAAATTAAAGGTGAAAAAATAAAGAATAAACTCTCAAACTCATAACAATTGAACAAAATCTCACCATCCGCAGTTCCATGTAGAATAAGGAAATTCTCATCTTTCAGCTTGTTTACGTCCTCCAGCAAAGAGGCGGTCTGAAAAGATATACCTTCACATTATGAGGGCTTTAGCTGAATCAACACCTCTTTAAAACAGTTTCAGTTTTACTGAATGTTATAACTAACATGAAGTCACATATTTATTGGAGGACTGTTGTATTGGACAGAATTAACTTGTAACTGAGTGTACATCCACAACCATTATCATTGACAACATTGTTATCAAAATCATTTACACCTGAATAGTTGAATTCATTAGCTTAAGAGCCTCACCGAGTAAACATGCTCCTCCTTTGCTGGAAGGCCTAGATACCTCTCTGAGAATGCAGCACCTGAAAAATGTGAAATAACTTTTACTCTAATACATGAACAGTGTCTCTGTTTTCCCACGGCCTCACTGTTTGAATAGTTACTGACATGGTCTCAACTCACTATAAAGCCTGAAGTCAGTTATCGGCGCCACAACAGCCGTGCATTGAAAGAGCTTATCTGTTGCAGCTAACATCTTGAGTGTTAAATAACCCCCAAATGCCTGTAGGGAGAAACGAAAAGAAGTGCTAAAAAACAAATCATGTGATAGCTTTGATGGCTTCAATAGGAGGACTGAGTTTTCAAATAAGGAAAATGTTGTAACCTTGCCATAGAGGACCATCCGACGATCATCAATGTAAGGCAGTCGCATCAACAACCTGTGAAAATATCACACACTCAGTTAGCTTACCCATTCACAGGCATTATTCTTATGTGTCAATTATACAGCCTTATGTTGTGCATAACTGTACTGACTCTACAACTCCAAGATAATCTTTGACTCTAAGTGAGCCAAGCTTGCGTGGATCCACAGCTGTGGTCTTCTGTCCACGGCCAACCCCACTCCTGCCGTCCACCCAGGCCAAGGCCACATTGTATGTGCCGGAGAGGACCTGAGGCCAGTCGAGGGCAAATTCCTCTGTCACCGACTGACTGCCAGGAACGCCATCCCTGAGCAACAAGACGAACATGGTCAGCTAGTACAGTGACAGTTGTTGTTGTTGATGTTGCAACGTGGAAGAATGAAGAAAAGCCTAGGGCTCTTTTAGCGAGATTGTTCAGTGATGCTTACACAATGATGAGGAGAGGGTGCAGGTTGGCCTCGTAACCCTGAGGGAGAGATAGTTTCAGGTGTAGATCTAAGGAAAGCAAACAAGGGTTGAACAAGGTGGACATAGACATTTTAGGATTACTACTACCTTTAGAGCCTCAGCCTGAAATACATCTGAAACTCTGAAGCACATAAAATATATATATAAAAAAAACTTTTTTAAAAAACACGAACACACCTGCACAACCACACTTTGAGAGAATACTTGGTGCTGGTCCTTGAGGGTAGACACTGTGCCACATTAATTACCTAATCACCAAGTAGAAGAAATTACTGCTATATTTGTCTCTTCCAGGCTGAGATACTTGAAGCCGGTACTGCATTCTCACTCCATAATTTAGTGTGACTGCTTGAGAAATGCACTGAAGGGGATCTAAGAGTGCTCTGTGAATGTATTTGCGTGGCTAATATCCTAAATATCAAACCACAAAATATGGCCAATGGTTTCTTTGTTGTACCATGGTTGTCTGCTGGGAGTGTCCTGAACAGGGTCTCAGGGAGCCTCTTGTCCTCAAGAGCTTTAGATAGAGGGCTGTTATCCTCCAAGAGGACATATCCTACAGGAGAAAAAGATTTTTAATTCTAAACATCAGGACAGACACAGTAGCTCATCAGGTTGAGAGGCCAAGTCCTTTTATCTCCAAGGAAACTGAGAGTCACAGACAGAGGGAAGTGTTCACAAGCATGAAATTAATTAATCTACATTTTAATGTGCTTGAATATACTGCACCCTGCAGGCAGTCACATGAAACTACAGACAGCTTATTTTTCTGTGTGTGTGTGTGTGTGTGTGTGTCTGTGTGATTATACCATTAGTCAGAGAAGCAGATGTAACACTCACTAGAGGGGTCCTTTGTACGGTGAACTGTCACTTTAGGGATTCCAGGGCCTGGGGATTTGTTCAAAAGACAACATTATTAAACCAACTGTCCTTGCAAGCCTGTATGTGTGTGTGTCTGATTTACCTAAGCAGTAGAGAGTGAAGTGGGTTTGATTGGGGCTGAATTCGGCTTTAAAGAAGCGACATCCATCTATGAGGTCACAGGAGATGCACCGGCGGTGAAACACTCCATCCAGGTCCACACTTGAAAACAGGAGAAGGGTTATTGACCAGACTTTAAAAGAATAGGACAGTCTAAAGAGGTTTGATTTGCTCCAGGAGAGGGTCAACTGATTGCTAAGATACTAAGGAAAAGAGAGAGTGTCTTGAGACAAACTATTTAGGCAGGTGACTTTTCAGAAACAAACGGGGTTCAATAAGTCTAGACACAAAAGCTGTTATACAGATTGCTCTGTTGTCTCTAAATGTCCAACTCCACTCCACTGCCTACAAATTTTATACAGGATTAATCACAGACCAAGTTTAAACAGCCATCATCCCTCCTCCATAATATTGTGCTATATACTGAAGCCCAAAGCCATGTAAGCTAATAAAAAGATATGAAACCTAGGAGGTTGGTGAGGGAACAGACCAGTGTTAATCACAGGGGGACCATAAGTCTCACTGACTCGGGCCTCAGCAGCACAGAGTCCTTGTCCACTAAGTAGGCTTTTTTCTGTTATAAATGTATAAATTCAGCTGTTCATCTGGTGCACCTGCAGCACATAAGAATAAATGTGCACTTACTCTTCTGCTTGCTTTTTTAGGCATAGTGGCTTGTTTCTGGAGATGTCATGATTGTTATGTCATTTGGCCCATAAGTCAGTCTACCACTTTGGTACAGACCGAATTATCAATTAGACCCTTACTATTAGATGGATTGGGGTTTTGTATAGTCATGGATCCCAGAGAATAAATCCAACTGACTGGTGATCCCCTGACTTTTTAACTAGCGCCGTGATGAGGTTTACATTTTTAGTTTTAAGTGAAATGTCTTGGAAACTATGGGATGGATTGCTACTCAGTTTGATTCAGACAATCATGTCCCCCCTCAGGACGATAAGAAGTTCCATCATTAGATTTATTTGTCTTATACTTTGGTTTATGACCAGACAACTGCAAAGCAAATAACCACTGACAAGAAACCACTGATGTTCATACTTTATCAGCTTTACTTTCGCACCGGCCTTTGGTTCATTTTGTTTTAAATAAACATATTTTGTCAAACTTCTACCATGGTGTGTCTCCCTTTTGTTGTGGCCTTTTGAGCCAGGTCATAACAATGCTAATATGTTTAACTACGATGGTGAACATAGTAAATGGCACACCTGCTAAATCAGTGTCTTAGCATTGTCCTTGTGAGTACATTGGCATGCTGATGTTAGCATTTAGCTCAACGCACCACTGAGCCTTGCCTGTAGACTTTTGTATTAGAACAAGACATGCTACCATAGCTACATGCTAGCAATGGGGCTGGCATTATAAAAGTCTTAGGATTAAAGTTGGATTGAATGAAAAAGCAGCTCTCAAAAATGTATATAGTCTGTTTTAGTCCAGAAGACATTGTATGTAAAGGATAATGTCAATGTTGTATGTGTTTGTAGCACTGTAGAGAATATGTATGTATATGTGTTTTTATTGGTCAAGGTTAGACTGCTTTTCACATGGAAGTATGCTCACCTGTAAAGGTGTCTGGTCTGTCTGGATTCCTCTGCGCTCAGGAAATAGCTGATGAGAAAAACAAACCACAGAAACAGCACGTTACTCAACACTATTCAGTCACCTTTGGTTATCTTCACCTCATAACTATTCAGGATATGAATTATTCTGTAAGAATACACAGATTTACATACTTCAACATATTAATAAAATTAGTTTATCACATGTAATTGTACCATTAGCAAAAGTGATTTAAAACGTTTGAGCAGTGGATATACATCAAAGTACGTATGTTGGCTTCCCAATTCAATATGAATGTAAGTAGAGTATTGTGTGACAGAATTACTTGTTTGTAGGCAAGAGCAGTATCAACCCAGTGGACCTTACTAGTGCAAACAACTGACTAGAACTAAAATTGACCTTCCTTGATTATCTGTGATGCTCACACAACAGTCAATTGGTTCAGGAGGGGTTTCTGGCCACAGCAGGATAAAGACAGATTAAAGCAATAATCTGCACTGGTCAAGTGTAAGTAATCCGTCAACCCTTTTCAGTGGAAATGTTTTGCCACAAGCATTGACAGGGTCAAAGCCAATTCCTTTGACATTTTAACCAAGATCAATCCTACATGTTAAAATGGCCCTTTTAGTTTAGACAGTCTTATTTGCTCTCCAGCAGCCGACATGTCTAGAATTTGTTCTAAGCTTACAGCAAGAGGTGATCAGTTTAATGATGGCCACTATTCTACTCTACCCCCTGTCACTTGTACATTCATAGAGAGGAGATGTGAGCTGTTTAAAGAGTTGAAGGGTGATTCAACCCGGCCCCAAGCACTGTGGCTCTCACACACATTTTCCCAGCCTTCTCGTCTAGCGCGCAGAGCAAGGTGACATCCCAGCTCCCTGATGTCAAGAAGCGAGGAGGAACGGAGGGGATGGCAGGCTGCGTTACACAGAGAAACAGAGATGAAGAAGAGTGTAGAAGCAGGAAGATATACAGAATAAAAATAGGGCAGCGATATGGAAAGAGTGTGTCAGAGGATGGGGGAAAAAATGAATATATGTTCATAAAGTTAAGCCAAATGAAGGCAGGGATGGCTACAGAGAGAGTTTAGAAACAGTACTTTTTAATTATTGTTGATTTTGACATTGGGACTAAAGTCAAAGAGACACAGAAGAGCAACTATGAAGCCTAAACTATGATGTCCTTTCTTTAATGAGAATTGAGAAAAACAGAAACGCAATTTCCCTCTGTATAAAATATGTTTTTAAAAGAGCAGTATCAAGTTTAACTGCCCGGGTGAGGATGACTTGTTGAAATGAACTGAAGAGAATTCCTGCATTATTGTAAAGGGCAAACCACCATTAGATAAAAGTGGTGTTTAAGTAATTAGGGAGAAAACAGAGGCAAACTAATTGTTTTAATAATAAGAGAGAAGGAGGAGATTGTAAGCAAACCAGAATTTAGGGTCTATGCTGCTGACATCTTAATTACATTGCATGAAATGTTAATGACCAATTTGACACAACGCCCTCACACTGACCTGGGCTAAAAGACCGGCGATGTGGTGAAACTCTCCACGAGCGCCCTGTTTTGCTGGCATGATTGTATAAAACATAGAGCCGTCTGCTGAAAACAATGGCACATCCTGTTGAAGAAAAATAGTGAGTCAAAAGAAAGACAGAAGTGATAAATTGGTGTAAAACAGACTTTCTGAAATGAGCAATCCATACCTGTCGTTGGTTTCTCATTATGTCCATGGCCATTTTATGTTTCTGTTGATTTAGAATCACAAAATATAGAGAAATGTATTAGTCATTTACAATGCACTTACATCAACATATTAAGCTTGTTACGGTAGCATTGTATAATTAAATGTAGCGTATTTTATTATTATTAAATATAGCAATAATGAAACACTGACATTTGGTAACTGAAATCTGTGAGGATTTACAGAAAGGGAATAGGCAATAAAATACTGCAGTACATCAGTGAAAATTCTTCTCATGCAAGAAATGACCTTAAATATTAATCCAGCCAGTAGACATTTGAGAGCATAAGGAAATCAATCCTAACTCCCAACACAGTGTGAAAAAAAAGTAAAAATTATATTAAAGCTCTATATTGCAGCGGGGGCGGTTTGGATTACTAATGTGGAACGACTGATGACCACTCACCTCTGAGCATGCCCCTGTGGTGGCCTCGCACACGCAGAGCACTGATTGGTTCTGGGCACGATTGAGCCAACGAACCGCGAGGCGGGTGCTGCTGATCCAAGTCACCATAGAGATGTAGCTGTCTCTGAAGAGGCGATGCAGAAAATGATACACAGGGAAAGGATTGGAAAGTGGTGCAAAGAAAAAAAAAAGCAGTGAAGGGGGGAGGAATTTGGTCTCGTCTAATCGTTTCTGACAGCTGGTGTCTCAAGTCTGTAAGGTTTATTTTGTTTTTACATTTACCAAGATGTACTACCTTGCCCTGAGGGAGTCAGGAGGCACCATCTCGAGAGTGTGAGCTGGACCATACAGGTTCACCACAAACAGACTGACTGATGGGATACTTGAGCCAGCCTGTGAGCACAAGAAAAAGAAAAAAAAGATCAGATCAATGTTAAGTGCAAGTTTTGGCAAATCTTTTTAGCCATGTTAGCAGGAATGGCAAGGGCAGACCATAATTGTGTCATTTTTTCGGCTCCCTACAGAGACAGTGATCCACCATGAGGTTGACTTGTAGGTTTGAGTGAAATGTCTCCACAATTGGATGGACAGCCATGATATTTGGTACAGACATTCGTATTCCCCTCAGGATGAATTGTAATAACTTTGTGTATCTCTTAAATGTTTGTGTTGCAACATCATTTAATTTGACCAATATTTTGGCTTCTGACTAAATACCTGCTAAAACTAATGACAATTCTACCAGCCACAGCTGTACTTTATGTTTAGAGTTACTTAATGTTAGCACGCCAAACTAATAGAGTGATTGTAGATTGTCATTGTGAATCTGTTAGCATAGTAATGTTCAGCTCAGGTTCTGGGTGGTGATGGGGCAGTGGATAAAACACATGCCTTTGGTGTGAGAGACCTGGGTTTGATTCCCACTCTAACCCATCCACCATTGTGTCCCTGAACAACACACTTAACCCATTGTTGCTCCAGAGGCGTGCGACCTCTGATATATATAGCAATTGTAAGTTGCTTTGGTTAAAAGCGTCAGCTGAATGAATAAATGTATTGTAATGTCAAAGCACCACTGTGCAGCCTCACAGAGCAGCTAGCATGGCTGTAGACTTGAGTCTTGTTTTAAACCAGTTTTACCTTTGGGTATGGGAAGACAACATTGGAGGGGTAGAGACCACCTAAGAAGTGAGGTATTTCCATCACAGGTGTGGCAGAGTTGTTTATGGTGAGGTATGCTAGCCGGGCCCCATCCATAGACCACCAGTGGGCAACATATGTCAAGAGGACTTCCTCTGTATAAAAAGACAGTGTTACTGACAAACTCAAAGCATACACCTGTTATTTATGATTACTACTGTCAAATTGGTTTTACATTTTTTCTCTCCATGGTCTAAGCGTGAAAAATTTCTGGTGAAGCTGGAATACATTGTACCTTCGTAAATCCAATCAGAGAGGCCGTTCACCACATTCTGCTCCTGGTCTGTGGTTGTGAGACGCAGGGGTTTGCTGGTCACACTTGGCTTGTAGTAGATATCTCCGTCAAACACATAGGCCTGGCATGAGCAGCACAGAGAGACAGCGCCAATCTATTATCAAAGACAGTACAGGCTCCCTCGCTGGCTGCCTGAATAGAGCGCCGGGCGCTGTCCAAGAGTGAATGAATCATCAGCCAGCACACACACACAAGTGAAAGCCAATACATCTTTACTTGCTAGTTAATATGCTGCAGATGAGCAATGACATAGCAGCAAAAGCAAATTACATCACAGGAAAGGTAGATTAATTAGATTTTGCGTGTACAACTACTCCATTACAGCAACAGAGTCATTGCAATAACCTCTAACATGGAGTTCGTCTATACCACTGATGTAATCATTATGAAAGTGATATGGAGGCTCCATTCATGAACAAATTATATTATTATTATAGAATGTAACGTTTTAGAAAATCTTCTAATATTATTGGCAGGTATAGTTGATGCACAAAACACATTGATCCGGTAAATTAGTAAGCGCCTGGCTTACCAGCTGGTTTCCCTGTGGCCCCCAGGAAGCGTATTGTAGCACTGCCTTCGCCCTCTCTGGAGTGTTAAGCTCCAGCAGATCCCTGGAACACACACAAAAACTCAGACATAAGCCCTTCATTAAGGATAAGTGTCCTGTTTAAAGCCCTCAGAGATCCATCCATGCCCTGGCCTTGAGCTTTGCTGTACTGTGAGGACAAAAGAGCAAGATGCAGAGAGGGAAAACAAAAGACAGGTTCATGCATGAGTGCAACATTTCTTTTTCCATATTTCTAGCTGCTCTTATTCTCTTCCTTGGGACAGGCAAACATTTTCCTCCTAGGCATACTCAAGCAATGATTAATACTGCAGGTCCTCCTGAAATCCTTTCCAGAACCATTCCTCATAAGTTCCAGGAATCATCCACAGCTGCCACAGAGATTTGTCCACTGATATAATACAGAATATGAATCTCAGGCAGTGATATCTGAAGTACAGTACAAACCTCATGTTGGGATATGGCACCTGGAAAGAACATTGATGAATGAATGTATGTCTGACAGAAACATGAGGTTCTGATTCGATGAGACACAATTTGGGGAAAGTTCTGAAAAAAATCTGCGGGTCTGCTTGCATTGGTAACGCTCATGCCCAGTGCAGCCCATGCATTAGCATTCATGATTCCACCTACCCATTAGCCACAGTGTAGATAGCATAGGAGGCTGTGAAGGACTGAGAGAACACCTGAAAGAGGTAGAGGATATCATGCACACAGGTGTGCCACACTTAGATAACAACACATACATATTTTAGTGCTCACACATACTCATACACACATATAAAGACGAAGGTTATGAATTATATTATTATATATATAATATAATATATAGTCCAACCTCAAATTAAGCAATAAGCAACGGGAAGGTGTGTTTGTATTCTCTCATTTCTTCTGAAATCCCAGAAAAGTATGGCACGTCATTTTAAATAGATCGTTTTTTAATATTGTTACTGAACAAATCAGAGCCTAGTACTACGCACTACATTTATTTGAGTCATTAAACCCTGAAAGCCATTTTATGCATCTTATATCATTATTGTGATCACATCTGAAAAACACGTAAGACTGCGTGAAAGAGACAACATAAGACATGGCATGGGAAAGGAAAGTGCAGAAACTAAGACAGACATACGTATTAAATTAGCATCATTACAGCTAATATCCTTTCCACTGAGATCTATTGTAGCTGGCAACTCTGCCACAGCCCTTACACAAGCATCAGTAGCTTGATCATTAATTAAATCAACATGCTGAGGAAAGTTAATGATTGTGTGTGTGTGTGTTAGCCGCAGTTGATCACAGCATTACCTGATGAATTCTAGGTAATAAATAGATTTTTTTCCCCCCTGCGCAATGTATTGGAAGCAGGCTATTTGCCCACTGACCTCAGAAAGCCAGAGCCTCCTGGAAAACAAGTCCCTAAAGAAATTAAATGTCACATCCTCTATACAGCACACTTAGTGGCGAAATTGGATTTCTCCTCTGTGTTGTTTGTCTGTTGTTAGAAAATGCATGGATGGAGTGACGAAGAGCTGAAGCCACAGGGATAAAGGGGGAAAATAAATACTAGGGCTATCTAAATGAAATTGAAATCTGATTGCAGTGTAAAGTTTGAGCAGCAGGAAAGGCTGTGTTACAACAGAAAATAACTGCGAGAACAGGAAAGGGAAAGAATGAATTGGTCAAACACTACAGGAAAAAGTGAGGGGGGAGATAGGGAGAAAGAAACAAAGACAGGAAGGAAAAAAAGGATGCAGGGAGGGAAAAGCCACTGGCTGACAGAGACAGGTACTCGACACACAACAACGACCAATCTTGAGTTAGAGGGAGTATCACTCTTCAACACCAAAGGGGGCAGCATTGCCATCAGCACCATGTTCAATCAGCTGTTTATGATTTGTTAAGGAACCCAGTGATTGTGCTCTGATTTAACATTATGAAGCTGCTGGCAGAGGCTGTATGCTATTGTGTGTCTGTGTGATAAACAGACAGCAAGAGCGAGAGCATCTGTCTTGGAGAGGCAGAGTGAATTCTAATGTAGCTGCCAGTAACATAAATCCTCCACATTGCTCGAGCTCTTCAACCCCCTTTACCACCCACCCTCTCCCCTAGCCATGTCACCAAAACAGGGGGTGGGGACACACTGCACAGATTAAATGCTTAGAAGATAGGGATGGATGCCGTAAAAGTATAGAGATTACAACACCCTTTGCATGAGAACAGATCTATTGCACACAATACAGAGACAACTTTGTCCCTACCTCACAAGCCTTTCTTAGCAGCCCCACAATGTGCTGCTTTTGATACCAGTACCTATCAGCGTTTGCTGCAGAGTGCAGACACGACTTACATGGCATTTTGTGTGTCTGCACTGTCTTTGTGGTTCGTTTCGCTTTGCTCATCAATCCAAAAAACAAACCAAAAACATCTCCTCTTATCTCGCCATCTATCTTTCAAAAATATGTAGATCTTCTCTTTCTCCTGTTCTCTTCTTACACACAAATCTGTTTAACTCAAACATGCTTTGAGGAAAGACATTTTCCTGTATGAAATCTGCTTTCTCTTGTGGCCAAATCTCTAACTCACTTCCATGTATACCCTCTTATCAAAATCCATTTATTTTCACCCACCAGGCACAAAACCCTCCCTAAAGCATCTAGAGCTAATACGAAATCCAGAGAAGCCTTTACCCACAGCCTGCTCATCCATTTCTCTCCACTGCAGATCTCTCCTTATAGCAGCTCTATCATTCTTTGGTAACCATTCTGATTTATTTCAACTGGGCAGTGTATCTAAAGGCAAATGGTGCATAACCCATTTTTCTCCCACCCTCTATCGCAAGTGACTTTCCCTTCTGCTCTCTCTGTTTTTCTCTCTCGTTCTCTGCCACTCTCAGCTGCGTGCCGCTCCTCTTCCAAACAGCAAAGCTGGTGCCTGGCGCAAACTGCTTCAGTCAGCACAAATCCCCCCCAGAGATAGACAAAAAAAAGTGAGTGAGGACGATAAAGCGGGAGAAAGAAGGAGGCAGCTAGAAAGAAGGGGAGAATGGAGGACTGGCACCCATGCACACAAAATGCCAACCATGCTCACACTCCAGATGGCATACCCACTTTCTCTGATATTTTCGATTATGAGTACACACTGAGCATACAAATGAGAATAGACAATTCCTGCTGACATCAAAGGAAGTATGCTAATGACATGACATAAACCAACCAAAACGACCCACATATTGGGCAAAGATCTGAGCCCTCTCTCTACAGTAATATCTGAAAACTGATTGAACGTATGTTAATGGATCAATAATTCAGTTGCAATGGATTCACTTTTTGTTTGTGACGAATACTGTAACACAGCAACAGGCTCATTAACCCCACCCCCTCCCCCCACCACCGCCACAGAAATTATGATACGCAGTGATTAGAGCAAAAGCAGATCTCTAAAGGAAACATAGAGAGATACAGGAGAATGAACCAATGAGAGTGTGAGAAAGCAGTAAAATCTGCTTTCATATTATTTAATAAAAATGTGGGGAAAACATGCTGAGGGCTTTCATTTCCTCCTAATTCTGTTTTCTTCCCTTGAAGATTACTTGCACATTACACAACTTGCCTGCCCTGTGAGGAAAGACTGAACTATTTATTAATGGTGCGGGTATTTACAGAGTCAGACCGCTGTTGGGGAATGAACGATCTGAGCTGGTTGGTGTTAAAGTAAAGGGAGCAAAAGATCTGTGTTTTGTGTCTAGCCAAACGCTTTTCTGAAACCACCTGCTATTGTGATTCTCTTCATCTTATTAAAATTCCCCACTGAACCAGCAGGGCGATTTCATCACAGCAGCTCCCACTGTACCGCTTCATCTTCTTGAGCTCCCCTTCCCCCCGCTATCCAATTCACACTGAACATTCACCGTAAGCTTTCCTCAAGCCCCTGCACCTTCCACCATCATCCAGTTTAAATATTCAACTTCCCATATGTTATTCCAGTCATTTGGTGTGTGGAGCTAAAGACTGTTGCAGTAGCAGAATCACACATACACACACACACACACACACACACACACACACCTTCTCCACAACCTCCTCCTTCATGTTCTCAATCCTCTCTGTTGTTTCGTTGGGGCTCTGATTAGGATGCATGTCACTGCTGTTTCGCAGCCACTAGTAACCTGCCAGACATGTTGAGGTGTGTGAGCAGTAACAGCTTGTCTTTGATATTCGTGAATAATTAATGTTTTCGGTGGGTAAAAATCTTGACTGTGCTGTCTGGAATGAATCTGTTAAGAATGAGTCAACTAGAGAAAACGTACCGGTTGAATGTTATATGCCAAGAGGACAAACCTCTTGTCTGCAGACACTTGGAATTTAGTAGTGGTCAGGTCCTGTAGGAAAAAAAAAGAAAAACGAATAAGACAACACATCAACGCAACTTTCATTTGTGGAGAAAGTGGGTTGGCATATCGCACTTCCTAACTTATCCATTGTTTTCAGACTGTGTGATCTGAAATGTGGGGTTCCTCAAGGGACAATCCCCGGGACCTGGCTTTTTTTCCCTTTACATGCTCCCTTTAGGGCACATTAACCATCCATTTGGCTGCATCTCCTCTCATTGCTATGCTGATGATCTGCAGCTTTAGGTAGTTAAAAACCTGGGCAACATAATCTTCAACCCACAGTAATCATTTTTTTTGCCCACTTGGGTGCAGCGGAAACACATTTTGAACACAACATTGACATTTCACTTCTAAAGATGAAAAAGCAAACTTGTAAGCAAACCGTTTTTGCAAAACAATTTGCACATCCAGTTGACATCGAGCAACATAGTGAGTCGTGTTTCTGTCCACCTGGTGAATGTAAGTTCAATATTCACTCTCTTTAAGTTCAGTTTTTGGTCTCTAGCAACTTCAGAGGTAACTAAATTGTCTTAGCAATTCATATATTCAGGGAAACCCCATGTGTGTCTTGGCATTCATATAAGAAAATATCTTTTTCTGGAATTAGCAACAGTAGCACAGATAAAAAAAAACATATCACAACACAAGCAAAGACTTGTTCTCAACCTGACAGCACAACCCTGCTTTAAGCTCCTCAGCGATGATGACCCATATAAGGCTGTCAGTGTCGTGCAGAGGCGGTGTTCAAAAAGATGCCCTTGCTTGGAAAATTCTCTTTGAAGACATGTTGAGGGCTCACAGAGCAGCCAGAATGGGGGGAAATGAGCTGATACTGTCACTCTGCCATATCTTTTTTTGTCTCAAGTGTGGGATGTGGAACAGTGGGACTCTTCTAGCTTTTCTCTCTCAATCTGAAAGCATCCCATCTCTATTGGTCAATTAATCCAGCTGTCTATGGATATGAGTCAATCAATACTGAAATATGTCCACCAAAGCAGATTCCTTGTGTGTGTAGAAACTACTTGGCAATAAAGTTCTTTCTGATTCTGATTCTGCCCTCATAAACGGAGTTGATGCAACTTACCAGGGAGCTGTTGTCCAGTAGAGTTGCGGTAAGGTTGCTGTTGAGACTGAATGCCAGGACATGTCCTTCTCTGGTGCGTAGAGCAACTTCATTTTCTGACAGGGTCAAGACAGTTCAGGGAAAAGGGTCCTACGTTATTGGAATGATGATTTAAAATCCACAGAGGCAGAGACAGAGGCCTGCAAACCAGTCAGTTTCAGGTGATAATTACTTTGTCAGTCAAAAGTTCTCTCAGAACAGGGATCCTTACCATTCAACCATGCCACAGAGGGGTCATGAACTTTGAACTCTTTACTCTCCAGGTCCTCCATAGTGAGATGGGAATGGAGTAACAAGTGAGATTCATCTTCAGAAGCAAAAATACAGAGTTAATTAGTTAAACCTATGTCCTGACAAAAGGGCATGTTTGTGCCCGGCCTATATTTCTTGGGTCTTCCTATAATGCAAGACGGATAGTGCCTCATGTGTTTATTAAATATAAGGCTACAGCCAGCAGTCGGTTAACTTAGGATAGCATAAAGACTGCCAGCTCGCTAAATAACACGTTATTTATGGTGTTTGATCCATGTCTCTTGTAGCAAGAAATAATCTTTTGAGAGATTATGACCCCCCCATACACACTAATTCGTGAATTGTCATTCTTACACTGTGGTTTTGATACAGATAAAACATCCAAAATATAAATAGTTAATTTGAGAGTTTAAGAGGTGCTGGTAGAAGGATTTTGTCACTTTTGGACAGAGCCAGGCTAGCTGTTTACCCCTGTTTCCAGTCTTTCTGCTACACTAAGCTAACCAGCCGCTGGGAGTAGATTCATATTCACCCTACAGACATGAAAGTGGATATCAGTCTTCTCATCTAACTGTCCAAAAGACAGCGAAAAAGCATATTTTTGAAAATGCCAAAGCATTTCTTTAACTCCCCACATTACAAATCCTCTCTTCTTTGCTGCTTTTACTCATCCAAACAGCTCTTCTTACCAGGCGTGAGTAGGATGACAGATAGAATGACCAGAGACATAACAGCCAGGATCACCACCATGGCAATTCCTATGCCCTTCCAGTTCCGCGGAGGACCATCTGAACTCCCCAGGTCCTGATATGAAAAGAACACACACAAACAAACAAAATGAATGCATGCACAGCCTAGGAGGACATTAGTGCTGCTTCATTTCCATGGTCTCACAGAAATGGATCCTTGCTAAGTATAGCCTATTAGTATAGCGAGCCTCAGGAGAAATGAGATCATTCTCCAGTATCACAGAGACCTCGCTGAATTACACAAATTTTCTAAAAGAGAACTGCATAAAATTGTTGCATATGAGAGATTAGCCCTTAATTTTTCTTAACCAATGCCTCATTTCACCTGTCATTTACGACTGATGGGTCAGACTCTGTGGTTTTCTAAAGCAGAGGGGGATAGGTGGCGATATCATTAAAATGTGTGATGCATGAATTTACAGTGTGCTTTTATAGAAAAATGTTACCTGCTTCATCTGCTATTGTGGAAAAGGATTTATTCAACAGATCTGGATATAGTTGTTAATGAGGAAATAAAAATAAGGGGAACCACATGGGACTGTATAACTATAGAATGAATTACAGACAAAGCTTCAGTTGCCAAAAGAGTAAAATCAAGTTTAGGCTCAACTCCTTGTGTATCCTGTGTATAAGATCAGGGGGAACTGATGGAATGATCCGGCATCAGTATCAGTCACAATTAACTTCACTGGTCAACAGATTGCTTCTCCTCCGTGCTCCCTGGGTGAGCTGTCCATGAGTCTGCGCTATTGCCAACACCAGCCTTAATACCCTCACCTAACAACTCCTCACCACAAACATACACTCCCATGAGCATCAGACTTAAAGCCCCTGGCATGTGGTGTTTTGAAGTGCAGAAAATTGACAATGTAGTACTTAAATAACAGGAGTCAAATTGTCCTAAAACCCCATTTCTAAAAATTGAAACGGTGAATTACGTAGGAACTGAAGGGTCAATGCAGTTGGATCAGAACCAGTGGGGTTTCTCATTAGGATAAAAATCCTTGATACACGTTTTTTTTGGTGTAAAGCAGCAGGTTTACTTCATACCCCAGATATATCGAAGTTATACAAGGTCTTCTCTATCTCGACAAGTTGCCAGCACAGAACTCCTGCCAAGGTCTCATCTTTAATAGATCTCCTTGGATGCAGTATCATAACATGTTCAAATTAAAAGCACTACCAGTTGCAGTTGCAGGGACAACTTTTAAGTAATGTTTGAACTCTAAGTGCATGCCAGAAGTGAGTGATTGATGTCCAGGGCTGTGTATCTACTGGCCTTTCTGACACTCTGTTTTATCTCATTCTCCTGCACTTTCCGCACACAGTATCTCAGTGAACCACCATTATCCTTCCAACACATAAAGAAACCTACTGTAGTCTATAAAAGCTTTTATACAGGCAATACTGAATCACACTGCATCTTCAGCACTTTCTCTTTGACTGAACAGTTATACACTTCAGTAATCCTTAACATTACAAACTGGCTATATGTCAATCCATGAATAGCTAATATGGTTTCTATGTTAAAACATATCAAGAATTACATATCGATTCCAGGATCTCATAGCAGAAAGGGACATTTTACCTCTACTTGACTGATCCCATCATAGAGTGTATTAATTTCCAAGTCCTCTCTCTAATTACTGTGTGCAATGTGAGAGCTGAAACACCCTCCTAATGGGATGCACGGCTTCTATCATTCCCCTGAGCTCAGACATTAGACCATACTTCCAATTAAAGTTGCATCGTTGTTAAGGCGATTGAGGAGTTTTGTCACACTTGCAAATGAAGTACAGATGTGCTGAGCAGAATCCCCAGAGTGAACACTGGCGAAGCTGCTAGTGCCGACTGGCTGTTCGTTACAATGCATAAGGAAATCTAATGCAGCACAAACTGCTGGCACAGGTGAACAGATGACGAGTTGCACTCTGTATGACGGACTGGGATTATCTCAGTCAGCACCCTGATGGAAAAGCAAATATATCTCAGAGCAGGTTTTCTGCTGATCAAGATCAAAAACACACATACTTTCCTAAGTGGGCCATCTATTTTATCCAGCCTGTGTGTGATCCCACAGGAGTTGGAGTAGAAGCCTAGATGAGGTGTCAGTCAAACACCAAAGGGTGTGAGAATGCAAATAAAAAGTCTTTATGTTTATGGATAACTCTCCTGAGGAAATCCCCTTGAGTGGATTATTTTGGCAAACCATGTAGAACTGCATTAGAGAAGAGAGCGCTCTTATGTTTGTGAGCTAGGAGATTTTCACTCAACCAAATGAAAGAATCAATAAGGTGTACAGTTGTACATGGTCCAGAGGGAAACAATTAATAGTGGGAAGACAGCCATAAAGGAGACTTATAGGTCTTTTGAGTACTGTTTCTTGCAAAGTATGACACCTGCATGAGGAACACCAAGACCTATTTGGACCTTTCTACCATTTTAACTTAAAAATCATATTTATCGGGCTGGAACCGTTTATTAAACTTCACATCCAGCAGATTGCAGTTCATTGGATCATTTTTCTCAGAGCACTGTACACAAAATCTAACTCTATTGATTGAGCTTGCACACTAAAAAAGCCACACTAAACACAATTACTCAATCTGCACAGCATGCAACAGAACTAGGTTGTGCAGAATGCAGGCGGTGCTAAGAATTTATAAATTAGGCTCAGGAGACCTCCTTAACTCCATCTTCTATGTCTTTGAGGCATGGAGAATCCAGCAATAAATCACTTGCAGAAGAATGAGAGAACCAATGCAGATTGTTTGGGGATTCTGGTCTTGATTTGCATACCATTAACCCCCCTTGATCGTGTGATTGATGAGATGATTGTTACATACATGACATTGGCAGAGGCATCAATGAAATTACCACCACCATATAAAGGGTGAGATCTATTGGCAGACACATACAGCCTACAATATAGCCTATATTATGCTCCTGATTTTAATGATTCACTGTAATTGAGAAAAACGTAGATTAGCAAGTAACCCACATATGTATTACCATGTCAAAATCTCTCACCGCCTCATTTAAAATGAAAGTCATCATTAGAGCAGGCTGTAAATTTAGTGCAGTTGGAATAAATGCTAACCAACCAGCTGTAGTAATGACATTCTACAGCTCAATACCGATATTGATCTTTCATCACATCCAGAGGAATCTTTATGCTCCTGCTCACTGCGCCACCATTTCTCCATTTGTGTTTCTTATCTTAAAAAGCAGTAGGTGGTATAGACATCATATGGGATTAACTGGGCAGATATTTTGCCCCCAAGGCTATTGCCACACAATGCAGCACAAGCCTTTATAAAATGAAAGACCTGCCTCTTTAGCCTCTACTGCTGCAAGGCTGCCCCACTGTCTTTCTTTTCATGCTACCCATCACGCATAAGAAAAGTACTGTACAAAAGGGTCCTGTGTGAGGGAGCTTTTCCTCAGCAGTTCCAGCCTTAGGAAACATGCAGCATCAATAAAACACATGTGGGAGAGCTGCAGATGACATCATATAGAGTTACAGTAAAATGTGAGAAAGAATGTGTGATTTTTTTCACAATGAATAATATGCTTATAATATGCTCACTGCACTCACTATAAAAATTCAGTCATATGTCACATTACCAGTGTTGAGGATGAATATTAAAAGAATATTGCCTTTGAAAAAAATAATTAAATCACTTATTTTCTTCCTTAATGCCAGGGATTAACTGAACCAGAACCAAAGCATTATGTTTTTTGTGGCATGAAATTGTGATATGGCTGTCTTATTTGGATATTACAAGTCATATATGTCGACCTTGCAATGCTCTTTGCTTTCTTTCACAGCACACAACATATGACCATAAACTGTATATAAAAATATGACACAAGTAGCATCCCAGATTATCCCCTCAACCTATGTATCATCTCACCAATGGAGATGTGCCAATCTGAAAAACCCAGATGTGGTTCATTAATAGTTTTATTGTGTGTGAAGCAAATTGATTGGAGACTGTGGCGTGACATATTGCGACATTTGCAGGTAATAGATTGTCTATAAGCCCTGCAGCGTTGTGTGGCCCTCTCAAGGAGACAATAATGCTGCAGGGTTATCACACAGATGCATCAGACAGTTTTCACCAAGGTTTAATCACATCATCATGTGAGTAAAAGCACTGAAGGTTAATGCTCATATCACATGCCAATTAGACATAATTTAACAAACAACTGAACTGCTCCTCTATTCTCTCAAACACTTTCTCCACCAGGGACAGCCGGGTACTAAAGATCTCACGATTGAAACTCTTTCACAAGAAGGGTGACAGTTTGATGATATATGTTAATGAGCTGACTTCGCAAGGGTTTAATTTGTTGAGAAACAGAAGCACCAGAGTAAAATATTTTGGGCAATTACTAATGCAGCTGAGAAAGTTGTATTTAAAGAAGGAAGCAATGCATATTAGATATGTGTAGATATTAGTCATATAAATCCCATTGAAATCAAAGTTTAAAACTAGTGTGGTGATTAATCTGATGCAAGCATTTATCCCCATCAGTTATATCACATTAAACAATTAACAAGTAGACCCTAATTCCATACACTTCAAGCTGTTAAACGCAATAGTGAATCTTCTCTGAAATCCACCTAGTGTATACAGAGCCTAATCTTCAATTGATTGTTTGCTCACATGTTGCTTCTGACAAATAAATAAAAGTGAACTGTCTTTTAAAGAAAACCAGAAAAGGTCACATTGAATGGAAGAACTGCATCAAATAAACATTTACAGAGCATTACCGATATTTCACCTCATCATCAGTAAGGAGTGTGAATAATGTGAACAAAAAACAGGCTGTTGGTTCATAGTCTTTGTTCATTGACACCTAAACAGTAGATAATCAGTCATACAGTGCAGGCTGTGGGTTTGACCCCTTCCTCACTGTGCAGGTCCAAGCTGGAGGGGACAGACTGAGACAAATTATATCTGAATATTACACTGCAGATATTAGGCTATGCTATAAAAGTCCGCATGGGACAGAAAGAAAATAAGAGTGGACGTCGAGTTACCACACCAGCCTGCACCGCAGTGCACAGAGTCAAGCTTGCCCAGGACATAGATGAATATCGATAGAAAGTCTGAATGGGCAAAAAATGGCTGAAACATTAATCGATAGTCATCGTATTGGCTGCCTGAATGAGGAATTCCCCACTGCACATCACAGATTCTCCCCTTAAAAACTGGAGACAGGCACGCACACAAAGATTTGCTTTGAAGTAAGGATAAAACAAATTTAAAAATCACACATACCAGCTCCGTGGTCATGTTTTGTTGAGTTGTGGCAATCATTGTAATCCCCAACAAGCTCTACCGCCTCTGTAGCCTCAAAACCCGCCGAGCAGCTGCACCGTTGTGTGCAGAGCTTTTTCTGCATGCTCTGCTTCTTGCAAGTTTGTGCCCACCGGGCTAGTGGTCTTTCACTCTCTCTCTCTCTCACACACACTATCTCACTCTCTATCTCTCTCTCTATATATATCAATCTATCTATCTCTGACTCTAGTTCACTCATTCTCGTTCACTCACAGGAGGTTGGGTTTGTGGCTATCAGTCGACATCAGCTGTTTCAGCATTTCTATAGACAGTTAGAATTGAGTAATTATTAATAAACAAAATATTTAGTGAAATATTAACAGCCAATGTTATCCATAACTTAAGTATTAAAATGTCGGTGCTATGATTGAACCGTACACGGATTTACAATATTTAATTCCATTAATATAATAATTATAAACTCATCAACTAACCTAGTGCGTGTATTAATACAGGCTACCTCAGTATAGTATTCAGGAGCAATGCTGTAGTGTCTTAATTTCTAAAGAACCTTCAAAGACATGCTGGAGACCTTTTACGTGCTCCATAAATATGCACTGAAGTATTGTACTGTACAGTTTGAGTTAATTGTACTTTGCTTTTCTATTTCCATTTTTGCTTTTATTATTTCCATTTTCTGGTACTTTCCTCTTCTACTCCACTGCAATTCAGAGACAAATGTACTTTTCATTTCGCTACATTCATTTGATTATGTTAGGCCTATTAGGTATTCAGATCAATAATACAAAATGTAATCAACAAATAAAGTATAATGTATTATAACAGGTTGAGATAGGGTAAGGGGTGAAGTAGCCTAGTTAAAATTAGCCCCATATTTACCAGCTGCACCATGAAAGTGCGAATAAACAAATAAAACATGTTAATCCCAATAAACCTAATATAGCTAGTAAAATATTGAATGCATGACATGACAAATGCTACTTCGGTGCACCTTACCTCCCAGCCGCAGTACACTGCCACTGGCAGCTCCGTGTAGTAGCACAGACTTTATAAAAGAAGTGTGAGTAATGTGTGTAGTGGCCGTTATTTTTCCATTTACACACGCCAAGGACAAAAAGTTTGGCGCTTGTGTGGATACTATTTTGAAAGTCGTAACCGGAAGTCTAACGTCTGTCTTCTCCTTGATTTCTGCTTTTTGTTTCTCTGTTTGTTTGCATCTTTGATTGTTAGCCAATTAACTTCAAGCATTAAATTTTAAAAACGATATTTTAACAGTTCAGTTTTGTATTCGTTTCTGCTTGTTTGTGCCTTTGTGGCGTCACTAATGCGACGTGCGTCCGTAACATTGGTTGTATTTTGAAAATATGTACTCGGAAGTCATCTTCTTGGTGTTGTTCACCCATTGGCTAGCGGCGAAATTTGAAATGCAACGCGCTCATTGTATCTGAATCTGCGGAAGGATGCGGATAAAGATTCAACAAGCTTGTAGCTAAAAAAAAGAAAAGGAGAAAAAAAAGCAGAGCGCTAAACATAAAGTTAACCGAAAAGGATTTTCTATAATACCGAAACGGAAGGTAAGTTAACTGTTGCGAGCTAATATTTACTAACATGGGAGCAGAAGTTAACGTTAGCAGCTTAGTCAGACCTATCGTAACCGCGCCGTGTTATTTTTCAATCGTACAACGTTAACGTTAAGTTAGCTTAGCTTAAGTGTGTGTAACGAAACAAAAACAAAAGAAGCAGAGCAAGCAAATGAGGAAATAACGTTGGAAAACATTAACGTTATAACGTGGCAAATTCAGCTAATGGATATGTTGATTCATTGTTTCATTGCCATTAACGTTAACTTAAGTTTAAGGATTTCCTCTTAACGTTTGCCAGATATCTGAATTTAGCTAACGTTACGTTGAAAAGCAGCTGTTCACCAGCCCATTCTGTAGAACCATAACCCTTTCTGTCATACAAATTAAATGTTGTTAATGTATATCTTTTCGTTGCCATTAGATTTAAGTTGGGGATTATTTACATGTCCACTTAATGTTAACCTTTCCCAGATGTCCTAATTTAGCTAATCTTACATTGAAAATCAGCCATACACCAAACCGATATATTTTGACTGTAACCCTTTTTGTCCTATGAATTAAATGTAGTCAATGTATCTCCTTTATGGGTCTTCAGTCAGAGAGCATAATGGAGACGGCTGTGCTGAGCCTCCAGAGCTTATATGATAAGCTGAGAACGCAGGTTGACGTTCTCAACGAGAGCATTGAACCCAGTGAGTAGTTTATGGTTCTTGGTTTTATCTTTATTATCTATACTTTGAAACATGCTTTAGGTTCCCATATATATACCTGCCACATTACTATGTGCATCCTCTTTTCCAGACTTCATCCAGATGGCACAAAACTTTGAGGACTGCCGTCGCAAATGGCTGAGGACAGAACATGAACTAGGGTCTTGCAAAGAGACGCTCACCAAAACAGAGACGGAAAGAGGATCCTTGGAGGTCAAACTGAAACATGCCCGAAACCAAGTAGATGTGGAAATCCGCCGCAGACAAAAGGCTGAGGCTGATTGTGAGAAGTTGGTATGTTGGATCAAAATGCAGGCCCATGTTTGTTGATATATCTTGATTTAGTTTGAAATGGTTTAGAGAGTTTCTAATTTGCACTCTGCTTGCATTTCTGTAATACAGGACCGTCAAATTCAGTTGATCCGGGACCTCCTGACCAGTGAAGGATCCTCTAACAGCATCCAGTTGAGTGCAGAGCAACGCTCAGCTCTGGCCTTCCTGAACTCAAACAGCCAGGCAGCAGTCAACCTGAATACCAGTCGAAGGTAATGAGCTCACATAAACAGTAATGTCTCTGTTTTTTATGACTTGCCTTATCAGTACTGCATCTGCTACATTAGCTGTTGTTGTGCCACGTTAAACAATGCAGACTAAAGTGTCCTTGGTGATTTACCATTAGGGGGGGGTCATTTGCATGTGGGAACATATACACTCGAGACTCGGATCCAATACAGAATTGAATCACAAGCTGACTTTAAAAAGGAAACTCATTTCCCCTGTACATTCCCATCTCCATCTATTTATCACATGAATGCACCATTCCGACACACTTTCAAACCACTGTGAACTTTCAAATGCAGTTCAATTTAGACTTTTTTATTAAACGATAAAATGACAAAAAAAACATTTGCAAAAATGTTTTGGGTGGAGGCAAATGTAAATAAAATGTATTTGGGGAAATACTGCTGCTTGACTTAACAAAAATTTTCTGTTTCCTCTGATAGACTCAAGACGATAGATGAGTCCGCCTCTATCTTGTCAGATATCAGCTACGACAAAACAGATGACTCTCTTGTAAGTACTTCACTTTTACACACAGTATCATGTACAGTTAAATGAAAATTATTTACATTAAAGCTAGGGTAGGTAATGTTGGAGAAAACCCCCTCCCCCAAAACACATTTTCATGTGCAATGAGTGAATGGGCGGAGTGCGCACAGGTAGACCAGCCAGTCATTTAATTTGGGTCGAATGGCTTATTACCGGCATGCGACAGCCACAAATACTGGGGGAAAAACATTTCCCCCTCAGCATTTCATTTATAGATTGCTGTTGAGATGTAAAGAGTATTTCAACAAATATAACAAAAATGCTTCTAAAATACATTACCTAGCCTGGCTTTAAAATCCTCTCCTTTACTTTTGAAATCTGATTCTGATGTGCTTGATCTTTGACAGGACTGGGACTCCTCCACTGTGAGGACAGTGCGACTCAAGAAACGAGAAAAAAGGGTATGTTAAGCGCATGTGCACCTTTTCTCTTTAAACCATAGTTTTTGGAAGATTGGCTTCACATTCACTGGAGGTATAGATGTCATGTCTGCTGTCTTGATTTCAGCGCTCCTCAAGAAATCACATTGATGGTCCTCCAGTTGCCTCCAAACGGTCTCGATCAACAGGCAGAACTTCTGAGATGGTAGGATTTTAACTTCAGTCTGGATATTATTACTTTTTCATCACTGAAATATGTGGCATTATCACACATGATCATAATCTGTCCAAATACTGTATAAACTAGTAAAATCAAGCTTGACCAAAATAAAATATTTGGTCAAGCTTTGGCAAGTTGCAAGCCTGTAACCAGCTCTCAAAACATAGTGTTGGGCCATGACATATTTTGGACTGTTATTTATTTGTGACAGGGTAATGAGACCCTTGTGACAAAGACCACAGTGACTGTCCCTGCGAATGGAGGACCTGTCGAGGCAGTTTCTACCATTGAGAGTATTCCTTACTGGACTCGCAGCAGGAGAAAGACTGGTATGATTTTTGCTATGATGCAGTATGCAGCCTAATCCAGGCTTGTATTGTGTTGTGCCATTTTTAATGATCTTGTTAAAGTGGATTTAGTGCCAAGTGATTAGTTTCTTTCAGCCTTCACAAACATTATTTAAAAACATTTTCTCATTGTTTGTATGGATGTCTTTAGTCTGAATATGCAGCAGCTGAGATTCGACAATATATTTTCTCATAACTAAAGAATTTTCGTGGTGTATATAACACATTGGTATTTATTTTCTATCTCCTGTTCAGCTGCTATGGAATGGGACTCTGAATCTGTCAAGTCAGATGATGTCTTCAAGCAGCCTGGCAACCGTGGGGAAGAAATAAAAGTGCAGCCCAGCACTCCGCAGAGCCATGGGGGTGTCCGTCTTCACGAGTTTGTTTCCAAAACTGTAAGAATGCCGTTTGTGTAAGAATTCTAGAGAGAAGCATATTTTCTTTTTGGATTTAAGGACACTTCTGAATATCTTCAAGTTAGCTATTTTTTTCTTTGCTATTTTTGCTTTTATGCCAATAGTTTGATCAAACTTGGCACTTTGTTATTAATTATGATTTAATTCCCAAGAGCAGATGATAACATTTTTTACTTTAATGGACTTATTTTGGTGTGTGTGTACAGAAACTTACTGGCACCAGTATTGAAAAATGTCAAACTGCTGCTCTTTATGTATGCTGCCCTACTTATACAGTAGATTTACTTGAGTTAATTTGCCAAAAATTTGTAAGTTTTTGGTTTAGCTGTTGACCCACAATTTTTACCAGCCTCCTAAATACTGTCAATTGTGTTTTCATAGGTCATTAAGCCTGAATCGTGCGTACCCTGTGGAAAGAGGATCAAGTTTGGCAAG